TAGTGAGTGAGATCAAGGGTATTGATTGCAAGGGTAAGGAAAGTCAAGGTAAACCAATAGGGGCTATAGAGCGCAACTAAGGTGACTACTTCTAAGTAAAACCTGAGGAGAAGGAAATACAGTCGAAGGGAAGTAATGTTGAAGTAGTCACCATAGGCTTCTTATACTATTAAACTATACCATCTCGGACTCGGAAGGGATAGGATATACATGTAATAAGACTGTAGCACTTTTTACAAACTCGAGGCAAGGCAAATTACATACCAATGAATTAGGATGGACAATGGATGGATTCCAACGTTTCGGGTGGATCCTAGAGCGCGAGAACAGCGTGCTGGATAAGCGCTAAGTACAGGAACAAGCGCTAGATAGAGTGGACATGCACTAATGCTCCTATAGACACATTGCTGGTAGTTCTGATAGCGCTATAAGCGCGGGAATAGCGTCGGGTAAGTTGTGGGAGCATGAATAGCACTGTGGGAATGCGCGCGCATAGTGTGAGAAAGTGCGGAATAGTGTCGGACAAGGGTTATGGCTGAGACAAGTGAAGACTGCGGATAGGGGAGTAGTGAATAATATGAGGGATAACCTTGGTCCACCTAATCAAGGCTTATGCAGGTATACATGCCTAGTGCCAATATTATTGTCACAGCACACCTCGGCCGACCATTCCGTCCCATCGGTACCGAATCCTCCCATGTCCTGCCCATGTCCGCCTATCTCCATTGGTGCGTTCACTTTCTGTACCATCCAGTGCTTCATTTTTCCCTTTATAAACATGTGTGTCATCAACAACATGCACCCATGTTTACTGGAATACCTCAATCAAATCATCAAGATGCTCATGACCTGGCAGATTGGGGCTTTAGACAATCTTGGCCTATTCAATAGAGCACTTCTTTAGATGCAATAATATGGAGGTTTTTCATCGTTAAATGAATCAATCCTTTTACTTATTACAGTCCATAAACTGTGTTGAAACCCTTGTTTTCTCATTAGTAAGCACATTCCCACACCTTTCAGAATTTTCTCACATATTTTCAACAACTTGACATCTGAGCAGTGAGTCATTATACTTACCATGATTTACATTTCAGTAAAATGATTAGTCAACACTTCTGACTCTTAGATTGTTTGTGAGAATAAGGAGCATCCAATGCTCTGATTCACTGCATACTTTAGTAGGTGGAAAAGTTGTTGTTTCATTGGATTTTATTTCACTTATTCCACTTATCCTTGCTTAGAAATCTCATGTGGTTTTGTTTTTGAGTGCTGACTTAATATCAGAGGTGCAGCACAAGTTTGTGTGATGTACATGTCAATGATAGATAATCAATGAAGATCAGATTTTCACCATAAAGCAGGTGCGTATGATGATGATGATGATGATGATGATGATGTAGCATGTGGGCGCATGTATAGTGAAGTGTGAAGGTGTGCATTGGTGGCAGTCTCAGAGTGCCACTGTATGCAGAGAGGTTATATGGGGCATATGTCGCTAATATCATGCATGGTTTTTTTTATTTTGCAAGATGTGCATTGTGGCGGTCCTAGAGTGCCACTGTGTGCAAGGTCATTTTTAGTTGTGGTTGTGGGTTGCATATGGGGGTATCATGCTGATAAACAAGATCATTGGGTGGTGTGAGTGAAATGACTCTGAAATGACTGATAAACAAGATCATTGGATGGTGTGAGTGAAATGAGTATCAAATGACTTTGAAAAATGTTCAGATTGGAATTGAAGCCAGCGCATGCCTTTGTGAACAATATGTCAACAATGAGATCATTGAGTGGTGCGAATGAAATGACTTTGACAAAAGAGTGACATATGTTGAAGGTGTGCAAAGTGCCAGGCACAGGCCCATTTGCCGATAACAATATCAAGAATAGTGACATATTTTGAAGGTGTGCATGGTGGCAGTCCTAGAGTGCCACTGTGTGCGGGGTCAATTTTTGATGGAGAAATGTTGTATGTATGCAACCTCATATACAATACCAATAATAGTGACATATTTTGAAGGTATGCACAGTGGCAGTCCTGGAGTGCCACTGCGTGTGGGGTCTATTTTTGATAGAGAAATGTTGCACATATATACAATATCAAGAATAGTGACATATTTTGAAGGTGTGCATAGTGGCAGTCCCAGAGTGCCACCATGTGTGGGGTCAAATTTTTGATGGAGAAATGTTGCACATATATACAATATCAAGAATAGTGACATATTTTGAAGGTGTGCGCAGTGGCAGTCCTAGAGTGCCACTGTGCACAAGGACATTTTTTTGTGTAGTTGTGGGTTGTGTATGGGGGTTTAGCATGTATCATGCTGATACACAAGATCATTGTGCGGTCTTTGAAAATGTTCATATTGGAATTGAAGCAGCATTCATCATGCATGGTCATTTTAGTAAGACGTACATTGTGGCAGTCCTAGAGCACCACTGTGTGTGGGGTCATTTTTTGATAGAGAAATGTAGTGGGTATATGATGATGGATGGCCGCTGTGGCAGTCCCAGAGTGCCACTGTGCACAGGGTGATTGTATTTATGGTGCAGCATGGGCAGCACTCTCAGAATGTGGTGCGGCGGCGGCAGTCCTAGAGCGCCAGGCATAGTGAGAAATGGTGGTGAGTGGCCAGCTTAGAGGGGGGGGGGTCGAATGGTGATGAGTGGTGGAGTGCCGGGGGTCGAATGATGGTGGTGTTGCGGCGGCAGTCCCAGAGCGCCAGGTCGAATGATGGTGGTGTTGCGGCGGCAGTCCTAGAGCGCCAGGAGAGGGGGGGGTCGAATGATGGTGGTGTTGCGGCGGCAGTCCTAGAGCGCCAGGAGAGGGGGGGTCGAATGATGGTGGTGTTGCGGCGGCAGTCCCAGAGCGCCAGGTCGAATGATGGTGGTGTTGGCGGCGGCAGTCCCAGAGCGCCAGGGGATGATTTCTGCTGCTGATTACCCTAAAAGGACCGTGGGAAAACCTAGGAATGCCGTTTTTCTTGGTGGAACGGAACCTAGGAGGGTTCATAACTCGCATTGTTTCTGGTTCAGATGATAAAACTGTCCGGCTGTGGGATGTAGGAACAGGGCAGCCAGTTGGTGAGCCCTTGCAGGGGCACACTGATGGGGTGGGGTCAGTCTCATTCTCGCCAAACGGAACTCGCATCGCAACTGGCTCTAGGGATGAGACTGTCCGGCTGTGGGATGTAGCGACAGGGCAGCCAGTCGGTGAGCCCTTGCTGGGGCACACTCACTGGGTCAACTCAGTCTCGTTCTCTCCGGATGGGACTCGCGTTGCGACTGGTTCTGCAGATAATACTGTGCGGCTGTGGGATGCAGGAACGGGGCAGCCAGTTGGTGAGCCCTTGATGGGGCACACTGATTGGGTCAGATCAGTTTCGTTCTCGCCGGATGGGACTCGCATCATTTCTGGTTCGGATGATAAGACCGTCCGGCTGTGGGATGCGGCGACGGGGCAGCCAATTGGTCAGCCCTTACGGGGCACACAGAATCGGTCGAGTCAGTATCTTTCTCGCAGAATGGGACCCACATCGTTTCTGGTTCATATGATGGCACAGTCCGAGTCTGGTATGCAGCGATTGGGAAGTCGTTGCAGGATTACACCGAAGAAGATTGTTCAATGTCCTCCCCGCATAGCAATTGCATCACATACCCAATAGCGACCATCCCCACACCCAACACTGCGAACGATGCCTTCGTTTCCTTCTCATCAAACCCGACACATGCACTGTGGGACACTGCTGAGCTACTCGCAGGCACCCCCCATGATGACCGCAGGTCGACGTTCGCTCTTCTGGGAGAAGATGGATGGATGATGGGACCCAACCATCGGCTCTTATTCTGGGTACCACCCGCTTCTCGAAAACTATTTTATAATCCTTGGACTGCATTTGTGATACCTAGAGGGGGCCCAGAGCTAGATTTGAGCCGCATGGCACATGGGACACGCTGGAAGCACTGCTACGAGGGGTGAGCCTTCAATCCCTTCTGTTCCTCGCAGTTAATCAATTCGATCCTTGTAGCTCATGATTACGACGATCTTGTTCCAGTAAATTTATTTGCGGAGATGCCAGATACTTCATTGAGTAGGATATTGAGTGTACGGTTAATTCATCGCCTATTGTATACATGCGTAGCATTGCACTCGAGTTTGGGGTAGTTTGAGCGAACGATGTGTTAACCATCCGAGCTGAAGCGAACGAATGGAGAGAAGAGTGTGTTCAATGCACCTCACTTTACAGTGGATTGAAGAAACGGAAGAAGACTGCAGTAGTAGCGGGGGCGCGATTGGATAATGCACGTTTGGCTTCGGTTGCGCACGGCACACACGGGTTTAAATGTTAAGAGAACTGGGTCACTGGGAAAGTGCGTGATTCATTGCGTACAGTACAAGATGTGTATGGTAACAATAAGAGTACCACGAGAATGATGCATACAACAATATTGAGACGTGCGCGTGAGGCGTGGAAGAACATGAACCCAGTGCGACAATGGGCTCGTCCTCCTTGGAACATCTCCGATTATTGGTTAATGCCATGGTGGGGATGATGACTTATAGATGGCGGGAAGATGACTGGGATGCAGTTGCAGGAAATTGCTCGGCCTCTGCATTTTGTCTGCGTCCAATTCGAACTTCTGTCGGGCAATTAGGAGACTATTTGCGGTCAGTGGCTCATTTGAGTGTTGACATATTGGTCGAGGGCGCGGGTCGATTCTCGCAAGACTGGAAGAAGCGCGGAGTAAACGTCGGTGTGAAGTTGAAGACGGCGTGGGAAGCAAGCGCCAGCGTTTGACATCAGTGACCGCGTACCAACCACCGTGACGTACAGTGCCAATTATCGTTAGCACTTGATCGTGTCAAAGCATTACAAATGACGAGGACTCACCTGCACTAAGACCTTCCCCTGCAATACACCAGTAGCCAGAACACAGCCGACTCGAAACCCCTGGGCTAGCTCCCGCCCTTCGGTGCAGACTACAACTTGATCAGTACTCAGGCCATGTCGTCACTCACATTTTTTCCGTCTCAACGCATACCAGCACCATCCATCACCTTGTTCTCTACCACTGCTTCCATAACCTTCAAAGCCACCATACCACGCGGCATGTCATCGATCTTTTCTCGCGTAGCATCAGTTGGTTTATCAGTCGAATGAACAGTCAAAAGTTCTGACGGCGGTGTTTTTGCTTGGGCTATAGGAATGAAAATACCGATCGTTTGCACTGGAAGGAATCTGTTAATACAAATGTATCAACTACATCATACGAGGGAGGTTGGTTGAGGCCACCAGAGCGCCCGTAACGTATCCTCAAATGCAAGATACACACGGCAGGGCACTCACTGATCTAGAACAGCGGACTCCGAGATGTTCTTTCATTAGTGCAGAATATATTATAGGACAGTTGTATACGTCTATTTCCTGCTCAGATAGCGCGTGACCGTCATAAACTCTCGCCGCCCTTTATTGAACGATATGGTGCTGGAGTTCATGTGTTAGCCAATAAAAATACAGCAACAGATATCATGACTTACTGATGAGAGGATGTAGCTGGGCCATATATGTGACCATCCACATAAGATAACATGATGCAAGCGTGAGGATGATGGCCGTACGAATTGTCCTGCATTCGAGGGTATGACTCGCATTAGTTCGGATTTTGAAAAGGTGAAGAAGGCATACGTTTGATGTGGGCCCTTTGGAACGAAGAGGTAGCCACAAGCCATTAGTCCTAGGACTATGGCGAGTATGAAAATCACCGGGATGACGGACGCCATTCGGAAAAGTTACTAGCAGAAGTAGCAGCCTGAGGCTTGAGCGCAGCGACTTACATTATATCTCACGTGACACGCATCCACTCAAGGGCTCTCCCTATTTTCTACGGCCCGGGTACTTAGAGTCAACCACCGTGTCCAGCTGCCAGTGCGAAGTAAGAGGCTTAGCAGCTCACAGTATTTACTTGCCAGCGAACTACAGTCAAAGACACTAAGAACTCAGAGGGTCGAGTTAATCATACCTGGGCCATATGTCTTGCAGTGGGAGGGGCGACGAACCTGAGTACTGAATCCTGATATATGCCACTTGGAAGTTTTCACAAAGCGCTAACTTGCATAAGTCTCCCATGCTAGATAGTCCTTTGTCTGTCTGCCGAAATATTCCGAAGGATTCAACGATCAGCTCAACTCCCAAAAATCTACTTCATTCATATTATGTAATAGTAGTCTCTTTGCATAATACCGCTCGCATACAACATATACCACCATGTAATCATAAACCAAGACAACGAACGAAACACACACAGGACACATACATAAAGCACAATGTGACAAGAACGAAACAATCAGTTACAGTAGACGGTTCCCCAAGGTCCGTCATATCACCTCCAAAAGACAAACAATAAGAGAGGGGGTGGTGCTACATACAGTAATTATGATGAATGACGAATGACAAAAAAGGTGTTTCTACATAGGCGCCATCACCACACGACGGGCCGTGCATACATACTGCTTGGGTAAGTGGAAGCAGCGACAGGGACCCATGAGGTCGGTGGTGGCGGTGGAGCGCTGGCTGGGACGTACGAGTATGGATAACCCGGCGCGCGCGGGAGGTGATAGAAGGGCCCAGGCGGCGCGGGAGGCTGTATGACGAAGGGCGCGTCTGAAAATGAGGATGATGTAGGGAACGATGGACGTGCAGCGCTACTGGGGATCACTGCTTTAACAGAAGGCGATGGGAGTTCCACCCACCCGTTTCTCCCTGGCGTGATGAGTTTCTCGAGGCTGAAGGGTGAGTCTGGGTCAGAGTCGTTACGGTCTCTGCCTTGCGTGGAGCTGAGACCCTTTTTATCTCCCGCGTCACCGTGTGATGTAGAAGGTCCTGGCGAATTGTCGGATGAAGATTTGGAGTGATTGCGAGGCCTGCCTTTCTTGCTGGTAACTGGAGTGGATCTCATCTGGTCTACGATGACTCTAGTCTTGGAGGCCTTGCGCGACTGAACATCGGACAAGAACTGCGGGAGACGCGTCGATGACAGCCGCGAGGAAGGCCGAGAGGAATCAAGACGGGCGCGAGATGGTGATCCGGGTGGGGTGATTGAGGTGTAGAACCCTTGGTCGTCCTTTTTCATGCCTGGAGGAAGGTACTGGTAGTTACCGTTAATAGCTGGAAATACAAAGTTGATTGGGGTGGAAGACGAGCTCGAGCGTGAGCTGGAGTCTGGAGAGGGTGATACCAAAAACTTGGACTGCGGGCCTGATTTGGGGGTGAAAGCTCTTGCAGACCCATTGAGAGCCTTGGGTGGAGAAAGACCACGAGCATCTAACACTGGGGAGGGCTGATGTACCTCAACATCGGAAAATGCACTCCTTTGTGTGGGCGTGGAAGGGAGCATATCAGAATCGGTAGATGGTTCTGAATCGTATTCCAGCGAAGAGAGCGGAGACTGGGAACGGCCACCTGAGGAGAAGGAATGTAAATGATTTGCAAGAAAAGCGTAAATCTCAAACGCACCGTCAACGTCGGAGGCGGATATAGCCCGGCATAGTTGGATATCCCCGACTAGATCCTGAACAAGAGTAGCCCACTGAGACCTCGCAAACTCGACCTCCTCTTCGTCGACGTCAACTGACAACTTTGTCCAACTAGTATACAACTCGTCCAAGGTGATATCAGGCATGATAGAGTGAGTGAATCCGGAATCCAGTTCATACGATCTCAAGACGTCTTCTGCAACTTGAACACCAATGAATTTGTGATTCAGTGGCTCGGAGGTTGGCCATTCATTCACAGAGTTATGGGGTAGGGTTGTCGGATCTTGAGAAGGTCCGAATGGTTTAGCTTTGCAAAGAACTGTATAACGGCGTCTTGGACGGGATGTCCTGAGTAAGGAACCATGGTAATGGGGCGGCTTTGGATGGGAGACAGGTTTTGTGGGGACACGACAGTATTGTGTGTCGAAGGACCAGCTAACAGATCCATACCTGATCTCCCACAAGGTAGAAGGTAAAACCTCCCAAACTCCTGTGTCTCGCTCCTGGTTGATGAACGTCTGCATAAAATTGAAGCTACAAAGGAAGCTTCAATCAACCTTGATGAAAGTTAGCAAAAGAGATTGAAAATGAAGGAATCGCACGAACAAAAGAACGAACGAGGCTCATCCGGCAAAGCGCGCAGCAGAAAAGATGAGCGCAGCCTGAAGAAGTACTTAGCCTTGTGAGCCCTGGCTTGTTAATCGAGACTATACTAGTAAGAGGAATGATTATCGGCTTTTTTATCCAACTTGTTAAAATCATTAATGGATATATTGCTTCCGAAACCCCGCATCTACTTTGGGGTCAGGCTACTACTACGTGTCAGACATCTAGAACTCGCAATTAGATTTTAAAAGTCATTTTTCAATAGTTAAACTAACTCACCTCCTGCAGACCAAGCTATCGCTCGTATTGGCGAACCATCACAACTATCCAACTTGAGTGGCAGCAGGCTCACAGTCGGGTTCTTCAATGCCAGCACTTCTTCTATTCCCCGTAAATTCTCTGCAATCATTCCTCCCGCTCCCAATATCACTTTGTGCACTTCGCACTCAGGCGAGCATATGTTGTCAGGGCTCAGCGTATCGCATCCAATTACTCTCACTCCCGTTTCCATAAGCTTCTTCGCCGCATCTAAATCCATGAACGGGTGTTCTTCGTAATTCTCTTTACCCCAGTATTGCGACCATCCAGTGCATATGAGCACAATCACTCCCTCATGCATTTCTCCCTCCCATTTTTGCATGTCTTCCCAGGTGATCATCTCACGTGCCTTCTTTCCCCTCACATCGACGACCAGTGCACGGCCCACGAGTTTAGTCAAGTCGTACTTGTCCACTGTCAATCCGTCCGCGATGAAATGGTTGGGTGCATCAATGTGGGTTCCCGTATGAGACCCTAGTGAAATAAGCGTCACATTCGCATTCTGTTCTGGGATACTGGCAACTTTTGTCATCTGCAGTGTTGGGTGCCCCGGCCATATCGACATCGGGGCTTCTGTGGACGTCGTCAACGTGTGGGTGAGGTCGATCATCATCGTGGTTGCACACGAACTGTGGGAGCCAGATGTCTCTCTTATGTATGGAATTCTATTATTTTGATATGACTTATTTACGACTTGAAGTTGACTTGAACACATGTTTCTTTACATACAACGGCAACTATGTACGTATGACTGGACAGGCCCGCCTGGCCCGGTGCAACCTTCTCTCATCTCGAGCCCAAATTAGGATATATACCAAGAGGTTCCCTTGACATTCAGCGGCTCACAGGAGCGGTACGGCTTCTGAGGGCTAAGGGTGGACTGCTGACCGGTCGACCACCCGAGTTCCGTACCAGTTTCATATCTTCATTGCAAAACAATTAGATTAGAACATTAGTGGAGGCGCACGCGTGCACGGTTGGTCACGAGATCCATATATTTGTATTCACGACAAGAATGTATATCGTCTACCTAATTTCCTCCGTCCACCCGTACGCCCGTACAGGAGCCCCATCTGCACCATGTAAACTCAGAGGCACAAGGCTCACCCATACCTCCTCCCCTCCTTTAGAATTCCCACCCACAAGCTCCCCCAAATTCGTCAAATTCTCGCAAATCAGACATCCACGACCCAAAAGCACCTCATGCATCACAAACGCATCCTCCTTCGCCTTCCCTCCGTCCTGCACCAGAACAGTCTCATCCGGGCTCAGCGTATCAACACCCACAAGTCGCACGCCAATCTCCACAAGCTCCTCCGCGACATCCCTTCCAAAATACGGATGGTCAAAGTACTTCCGCTCGCTCCACCATCCATCCCACCCCGTCCTGAACAGCACTATATCGATCTTCCCTTCCGACCGCGGCCCAAGGGAAGCAATCGTCCCATGAGTCCGATCGAGGATCTCTCGCACGTCCCCCCACTGAATGCATCCCCTCACCCGCGCTAGGTGCCTCACATCGACGACTAAAGCACGCCCGACGAATCGCTCGAGAGAGAGCTCATGCAACTTCTGGCCATGCGCGAAAAAGTGAAACGGGGCGTCAACGTGTGTCCCTGTGTGCGTTCCGAGCGACACAGCGTGTACAGTGTATCCGTCGGTGGGGATGTTGCACACGCTGTGCATCGCAAAGGGTGGATCTCCGGGGTAGATAGTCGATTGGGGAGTGAGGGGATGCGAGAGATCGATAAGGGATTTGGGAGGCATTTGTGAGGTCCAAGACTATGTTGTTGTTGGCATGCACGAGAATAGATTAGACTTTGGTTTGGTAAGTTTCTCACATGACCTGGCACAGGGGTTATTCCGGATAAATTAGTGTTCTTTGCATGTAGATGAATACAAGTAGGAGAGAATTGTCAATTGTTGTACTCATAAAATCCTCGTCCGCTCTTCTTTCCAAGATACTGAGCGTCCACCATACGCTCAAGCAACACTGAGGGACGATACTTGGAATCCGAGGTACCCTTGTAGAGCGTCTGCTGGATAGAGAGACAAGTATCAAGACCGATACTATCTCCCGATGAGCAACACAAACAATGAAAAGATGATAGTTGCACTTACAAATCAGCTATCGAAAACCGTGTGTGACTATCAGAAAGATACAACACATCTCGCTACAGCAACTCACCAAGTTGTAATGGCCCCATAGGATGTGCCATGCCCAACCTGAACGTCTTGTCGATGTCATCACGAGTCGCAACGCCCTGGACACACGACACAAGCGTCAGTAAACCCAACAGTCATCCGTTGGTGTCGGATCATCACCTTCTCTAAGCACATGATCGCCTGCGGTGAAATTAAACACACGACGTACAAACAACAGATAGATGTATTTACCTCATTGATAAATGGCATAAGCAATGCGTTCGACACGAACCCGGGTACGTCCTGCGACGTAGCGACCTCTTAACGGAGCGTGAACAACGGAACAACACATCCCAGGGAAATAAATACCTTTTCCGCACGCTTCAGCGAATGCTAGTGAGCGGTCTAACGTGTCTTGTGACGTTTGCACCGCAGATATGAGCTCCACGAGTTTCTGACATTCATATATGGCATCAATACGTCATTCAAAGCACAGTAAACAGCTGCATCACCATGACAGGTACAGGGTTGAAAAAATGCAGACCTTAGAACACCTGGCGTCAATCAATCACTATCTATACACCATCCCAAACACTCACCGACCACCCTCCCAGACGCAGCCTTCCCCTCCTCCCCTGCCGCAGATGCCCCCTCGGGAATAACGACCCGCGCAATCTTCGTAATACTAATCGAAGACGTGTTCGTAGCCAAAATCGCATCCGGACGGATCTTCGCCGCAAAATCACGGAATATAGCGCGTTTGAGGTCTAGGTTCTCAGTTACGGCTTCTACGACCATGTCTACATCGCGCATGGCTTCGAGGGTGTCTACGGTTTGGATGCGTGCGCGCGCCTCTTCTGCGTCGGACGGTTGGAGTCGGCCTTTAGACACGTCTTTGGCGAGGAGCTTGTCTATGAGGGAGAGGCCTTTAGAGATTTGGTGTGCAGATTTGTCGTGGAGGAGGACTGGAACTTTGGCGTGGAGGGCGGATACGAAGGCAATGCCGGTGCCCATTTGGCCTGCACCGAGGACGCCTAGTCGTTTTATTCCGTGTGCAATGGACATTGTGGTTGGGTTGATCAAGCAAGAGCCGAAATCACGTGTAAGATGCTGCTGTATTTTCCGCCGTCGTGACGCGCCCGCCTGTGATGGTGCTGTGACGCGCCTGGACGCGTTACATGTTCTGAACTTCTTACTCAAAGTTCAAACCTCCACTCGACACTCCACATCCAAAGCAGCGGTCATCAGTCCCATCCCGCCCACGAGAAGCTTCCAAAACGGTTAGTACAGATGATGATATCTTCATCATTCTGCCAAGTATACCCCGATTGTAAATCGCAGCGGTAGAGAAGAGTACGATTATAAGCATGTAGGGTTAGCGGTCTACATTTTGACGGGCAACCAAGTACGTTATGTCACAACTTAATGGTTATCGGTACCTCGGATTTGATCCTTGATTTTGACAAGGATCCAGTGCGAGGTACTCATTGACGAATTGAACTCAACTTTTACAGGCGCCCCCGCAGCTATGGAGCTAGTAGTATGAAACTCTTAATAACATGATGCAAAGGTTGCTTGGCTGACTCTCCATGCATTCGCGTGGATCTGGCCGTACGGCTTCGGCGGCGAGTGTAACCGGCTAGTAATATATGCACATGCACCTGTCTTTCAAGCGGAAGCAAGGTTTAATAAGTTGTGAATTGACACTGTTATTAACGCCTCGTTTGAAGCAGTGGCATATCAAAGGTATTACCGGTTTGCCACTGAATTTGAGCCGGGTAGATGGAAGGGACATCATGGTACCATCATGGTGTGACATCTCGACGAAAGGTTTCTATATGGTTCAATCGGTAAAGGATAGTACGAATATACATATCCAAATCATGCGTATTGAGCCTTGATAACATCCGCCAACTTCTCCGCTGTCGCGATAATTGCACCGGTCTGGATCTTTATCAGCTTTCACATAAGAACATTCAGAGTTTCCATCACCTACCGGGTGTCCTGAAAGCAACTTGGGGAAAATACTTGCATCACACACCCGGAGACCCTGAGTGCCATGAACACGCAAGTTCGAGTCCACGACCCCACCAGGACCCATCGCACACGTCCCTACCGGGTGATATAGCGTCTCTACGCGATCCCGGACAACATCAACAAGCTCTGCATCACTGAGACGAGAGATGTGATGATCAAGTTCAGGGTGCGTGCTATGCACGTCGGTGACGGAGGTGGACATGGGTTCTGTGTGTGCGATTCTGAAGGCAGCACGGACGCCACGAACAAGCACGTCAACATCATGCTTGGTTTCAAGATAGCTATCCCGCAATGAGTACACAGTAAGATCGGATTGTAAATAGGTATCCAACCTAGGGTCTATGAGCGGGTTATCCCAAGGATTGGCAGACTTGAGAAGGAGTGATCCTTTGCTTGTGGGACTGACAGTACAACAATGCTTCGGTTCATTTTGAAAGAGGGCGTTGATTGCTCACCGTAATAAGACAATAAGTATTTGATATGCCTCTAAATTTTTCCCCAGAAAGTTATGTGCACGCGCTGCGGCAGTACACATGATAAGCTCGATATCAGGCGCATCTGTGCCCGAGTTGGCGTCCTCGATATCATGCTTGTACTCCGCAGGCGGGAAAAGCACAGGATCGTCTGATCGGAAAAATGCTACAGCCTCGCCGATCTATGTCATTATTCAGCAAGTATATGAGTGCAAGGAACGCATGACCAACATTTGAAGCGATTGGGCCAGTGCCCCACAGTTGATATCGCAGGAGGTCTCGCATGAACAAGCACCTCGTGCGCGTGTTGTAAGGCGTAAGATGGTTGAACGCCTTTCCCGTCTTTTCCTTAAACCGAAGAGGGACTGCTGGGTGGTCTAGGAGGTTAGCACCGACTCCGGGAGCGTCAAGCACGACGGGTATGTTGTGACGTGAAAGCTGGACAGCTGGACCGATGCCAGAAAGCATCAAGATGTGGGGAGAGTATATGGAGCCGCCGCTAAGCAGAGGTAAGTAATATTGCTTAAGACATATCACATTTGCGTACGAGACGATGACTTCCTTGGTCGCCCGTGCATGGAACTTGGGTCCAACTATGCCCACATCAGATTGACTGGCAAACTCAACGCCTATTGCACGTGGGATGCTACTGGAGGTGTCAAAGAGTACCTTGGTAACACGGGCATAGGTGACGACTGTCAGATTTGGACGAGAAAGGACGTCATCAGTGAGGTATGCAGATTCAGCAGTTACACGAGTGCTCTTGCTATCGATGTATGTCACTATGTATCTGGCTTCAGCAATTATTAGTATTCATAGTTACCAGTGAACTCACTGATCTGTGCAAAGTAACAACTGGTGTTAGTGAGCCATAAAACGTTGAGTCAGCGGAACCTGTCAAGGAAGACGCACCTTATTTGTCCCCTGCGTCCCTTTGGTCGTGCAGAAATCGGGCGAGAAAGGGATGCCAACGTTCATGCTCGCTCGGACAAAGCCTGCACAGCCAGGCCAGATGTGTGCGTTGTATCCAATCTCAACTGGCCCATTGGCACCGCGAAGGAGGGGATCAACGTGTGGAAAGCGCGGGTCTGGGTTGTATTTTTCGAATTTGCGAAAATACCTGAAACAACAAAGATTAACGGAAGGGAGTGACCATGGGGGATGAACTACGTACTTGCTGAAGTTAGTCCACGACCAGGACTTATCACCAGCAATTTCCGCCCACTCATCAAAATCAGACGGTGCACCGTATTGCGCCCTGGGATAGTAGGGGTCAGACGATGGTAAACCCATGGGGGTGCATTGCGACCCACATCATAGCATTCATAGCAGAGCCTAAAGAATATCAGACGACTCTTTGATGATGGAACGTCTACTTACATCCTCCGAGGAGTTTGGCTGATAAAGGAGAATTAGCGTGATAACTTTAAGTTGTGAGTTGATCTACCGCGAGGCCAATATTTTTTCTTGTTGCCTGCGTGCTGCTGGGGCTTCTGTATAAATATTATAGTCCCGTTGGGTGTGGAATAGTTTCAAGAACCCAGAGGGAATCCTGCTTTCCACGACATCTTTGGAGCTATGGAAAGGTTCAATATCTTCGAAGCCACCAAAACCATCTCAGACACCGACCTTCCACCAGCCTCAATAAGGAGAACCCGCGTGTTCGGGTCTTCAGAGAGGCGCGATGCCAGAACACACCCTGCCGTGCCTAGACGAGATCAGGTCCGTGAGGTATTCTAGCTGTGGAACAAATATATCATACCTCCTCCAACAATGATGAAGTCCCATTCATCAAACTCAAGTCCGTTATTATTTAGTTCCCTCGCTACTTTCGCGTAGTCCGTTATGAGCTTCGGTTGTTTCACATTGAGCTGCTTCAAGACGATCGTTAAGGCCACAGCACTAGCTGTCACACCAAGAAAAAGTCTTGATTTGGTACCAGTATGAGCCTGAAGGAGATTCAAAAGGTTGGGCAGCCTCGCGAACGCATCGTTATGAATCATGGCTATGTGGGGGGTAAAAAAGATTAGTACGGGGAGGGTGTGGACTAGAGATATCTAAAGACCCACTACTATATAGAGACAGTTGTTTTGCTGTCACGAAAGTACTTGTGGAACTGACATCCGGTGTGCGAAACTAATGCCGTTACGAGAACGAGGTGGGTGCCGGTGATCGATCGTGTACATCCAGGATGCAACATTAAATGCGAAATTGAGGGTGAGAGCCGGATCTTTAGGGTGTGTCCTTCAGGGTGCTCGCCTTCGCTCGTCCGGCTGACAGCCTTGCGGCACCACCGCTCTTCGGCAAGTAAAGCCTCGGAGATATCGTGAGGTGTCGTCTGCAGCCGGTTACATGGCAAAAGAGAGATACGATGATCCTGGATAGGCCCGGGACCAGTCGGGGGATGACTTCATCAACATCGTGGTCGTCAAAGGAACAACTGTCTTCTTTTGATTGGTATATCTACTAGTAGGGGAGACTCCTCCAAGTGCTCGCACCAAATATTTATCTGACATTCTGTACCAACTATCTTGGATTTTAGCCTCACTGAGCTAAGTGCTTGCGGGCAGGCTGTTTGGACGTGCATTGCACCGTGGTCGTGGCACTGTACCAGCCGACCAATAGAACAAAGTAAGTAGTACTGTTCTAGAGGCTTCTTGCAAGTCAAACCAAAGTCCATGAAGTATGTAATTGGCTGAACTTTGGACCTAACATTGTCACCATGTGTGTGACAGCGTGTTACCGATATGACGTAAGTACTACCAGGCTGATTTGCAACGTCAACAGCAACGTACGCGCGCCAGGCAGGCATAGATAAACGTCTGGTTCAAGCTCCCATTGCCAATAGGGCGTGGAATGTCGTATCAACTTGTCAAATACCACGCAGAAATCTAGTGGAGGGGGAGCTACACCCACAAAGAGCCTAGGTATTAGTAAGGCCAAGCTAGCGCTCAGCGGGCCCGGCGGGACTACGGTAATTAAGTCACTTGGTTTGGTCCTCTTTGATATCATCATGATGCCATTATGATGCCATCCCACAGGTAGATTATAAACATCCAAGTTCTACAACTTCCCAGCTCCAAGCTAAAGACTCAACCCGCTGATCATCGACTATGCCAGAATCCGACAAGACGCGCATTTTCGTAACAGGTGCTACTGGTAAGTTCTCGTTGATCGTAATTCAACTCAACACTGACTGTCAATTGGAGGTTACATTGGTGGATCTGTTTTGTCTGCATTGTTATCCCACCCTAGGGCCACATCGTTTCAGATAACTGTTCTCACTCGCTCCTCCGAGAAGGTCGAGCTGTTTAATAGCGTCGGAGTCGTAGTTGTCGTTGGCTCGAATCAAGATCTTGAAAAGCTGACAGAACATGCTAGGGATTCTGATGTGGTCATTGCCTGTGTCCGTTACGAGCCTAAACTGCCGAGTTTGAAGATATAGCTAATTACCCCTATATAGGCTGACGCCGATGACCTTCAGGCAGCCAAAGCAATTCTCTTAGGATTGAAAAAGAGATACGACGAGACTGGCAGGGTCCCTATTCTCATCCACACTGTGCATATTTTCCTTGTTCCCTTCACCTTCAAGATATACTAAACTTCGTCAGTCTGGAACCGGGGTTTTTATCGACGTTGCTGCTGGAAATTATGCTACCGATAAAATCTATTCCGACCTTGACATCCCGATGATCGAGTCGCTACCCAAAACACAACCTCATCGTGAAGTTGACATCGAAATTGTCGCTGCTGGTGAAAAAGGTAACGACCCTACAGCATCTGTTGCTTATGTTTCATAAACGAACGCTTGATACAGGTTACGTGCGGACATATATCATCTTGCCTTCGACGATTTATGGCATCGCGAATACATCAATGGTCAAACTCGGCATTCAGAACCCGTACTCTATACAAATCCCTAAGCTCATCAAAGCCAGCATTGACAGAAAACAGGGTGGAGTCGTCGGGAAAGGGTTGAATCTATGGCCTAACATTCACATCGATGACACAGCGACTTTGTACACCGCCGTTTTCGATGCTGCCGTGAAGGGACCAGGTGAAGCAGGCCACGGTCGCGAGGGCTTTTATTTCGGTGCAAATGGAGAGCATCGTGTGGGCAGGATCTCTGAAGTTATCGCGGAGTTGTTATATGAGATGAAGGTGGGCAAAAGTCCCGAACCTACGGTTTTCACGGAGGAAGAATTGCAGAAGTATTTTGGGGTAGGTTTTTGGTCTTGCTTGTTGTCCATGGGCTACTAACGAACCAACAATTGATAGGGCCCATATCTTGGATCGAACTCTCGTGTGCGGGCGGAACGAGCTAAATTGATCGGTTGGAAACCAGTGCACACCGTCGACAGCCTTTGGGCGAGTCTCAAGCTAGAGACCGAGGCGATGCCGGAGATACAAAACATCTAAGTTGGGAGTCACATAAATTCAGGATCTGTACTACTAGGGGTTCGCTGTGCGAACTTATGACCTTGCTCCGCTTTTTTTTTCAATTCACACGGCATTCAGGTTATTCTGTTTACTGGTTTTCTTATGTGTAAATACGTTGAAAAACTGTGTTGTATTTGTATCATTCTGTAGTTTAGTTTATGTCTAGGCAAAATTGTATGCGACTGTATGATGTTCGTGTCACTTATTATCCCAACACCTACATATGTGACCTTGCTCCGCAACGCAATTCTTATCAACACCAGTTACTGTCACGTCGTGTCCCGAAACACTTACACTTTGTATGAGATGCATTCAGAAATTATTCAAACTCGGAACCCAATAAGAGGTAATTTCAACCACATTCGAATGAATCCCAAACATGATACATTTACTTTGTGACAGCACAGGTCTGCCATCATCATATGGGCATGCGGTACTGCTTTGTCATTCTAAGCGCTCAAAGCTTTTATCCACCCGCCTAAAATCATTACCAGAGACAACACGCGAAATCGCTCAACAAATCTGTCACACTCTCAATATTCTTCCATGATATATGTATGATGATTTAGATATATAGTACAACTGCAACTACACAGGCGAGGTTGCAGAAACCATGCAATATAACGGCGAATTGTCGGCTGGTTATATATTTATCACACTTAAGCGGTAGCGTTGTTATAGATGAGCAGGTTCACTGTCTTCGGGGGCAGATCAGTAAGCATGTTCGACGATGCGAGCTTGCGAAGAGCTGTCTTGAGCTCCAAGGGGGAGAGCATAGCTGGACCGTCAGGGATGGGCGCGTTGACGAACATCTGCGGTGATGGCATAAAGTCGGTCATCCAGCGCGGGAGGGCAGCATGGCATAGAGAGTAGAATGATGAATAAGGGCGCTCGAGGTTGAGCGCAGAAGGAAGGTACGTCGAGCTCAACGTAGGGTTGAAGGTGGTAGAGGGGTAAATTGACAAAAGGTATGCAAGCAGGCCAGCGGTATGGGGAGAAGCCATTGAAGTACCAGAGAGGGTAGCGATAGCATCTCTGCTACCAATGTACGTGGACAGGATGTTAAGACCTATGAAAACAGTGCTTATAAGAAGCCGACCTCTAAACAAACGGAAACACGTACCAGGAGCGAAGATATCCACACACTCGCCGTGGTTGGAGAAGTATGCACGCTCATCGCCAAGTGTGGAGGCACCGACTGTGACCGCATTCTCAGCTGCTGCGGGTGAGTACTTGCAGGCGTCCTTGTTGTCATTACCTGATACTGTGGTCAGACAACAATCTTAACAGCTAACTGGCGCAACATACCAGCAGCAACGGCAAAATGAAGGCCAGCGTCAACAGCGCGGTTGACAGCAAGGTCAAGAGCGGGAGACTTTCCGCCACCAAGACTCATGTTTGCAACCGATCCTTTGTGCTTGGTCTTACCAGTGGCGGCAAACTCAGCGCGAGCAGCTGCCAACTTCTTTACAGCTGACTGAGCTGCCCATGCAACTCCCGCAACAACATCGGACATAGTACCACTACCATTGGAACCCAGCACCTTGACGGCAATGACGTTGGCCTTCTTGGCGACACCATACTTGCGAGAAGCGATAGTACCAGCACAGTGCGTACCATGGCCATTGCCGTCCTCATCAACGTCATTAGTCGGAATGGTTTTGCCCCAGGACGCGCGACCCTCGAATTCGGAGTGGGCGACATTGATACCGGTGTCAACAACATACACGTCGACACCATCACCACCTTCCGAGTCATAGAGATACTTTGTGAAAGTGCTGAAAGCCGAGTTTGTTACGGTGGCTGACACGGGCAAGACCCTTGCATGTGGAGTCAACTCCACTGAAAGCCACGGCATTCGGTAAAAGAACTTACCCAAGGCGAGCCCTTCTGAGTACTGATATTCATGGTATGCACGATTTGGTCCTGCTCTACAAAATTAACCTCAGGCATCCGCCGTACCTGCTCAATGACGTTCTCAGTGAACTCTCCAGCGTATCCTTTAATGTGTCCGTCGTATAAGTGACGGACGCCCTCCGCAAACTCGTCACCGAGGAGTGAGTCAGAGGCGTGAGCCATCTCGAGGAAGTTGAAGTGGTTCTGCATGACCGCCTGAGGAAGGTCATCGCGAAGAATGACGATATATGAGTTGTTGACGGTTCCATATGGATGCTCAGGAGCCATTAACGGCGCAACCTTGAGTTGCGGCCGACTAGGAATATTGTAAGAATTGGTAGAAAGTGGGGTTGCAAGGACCGCTGGGGCCAACGCCGCCGCTAGTAATGACCAAGTTGCGAGATGATAAGACATGGCGGGCGGAATGAAGACAGTTGTAGGGATGACGACCAACTACTTAAACAGCTTGCGTGGCCCTATTTGGCAATGTTTGCATTGTGGCATAGCAGCGTGTCAGTTCTGGCTCTTTTTGGAGAGCTGTTCCGCAGCGTAGGGACTCTAGACTTAGTAACTGATAACCTCTCAGTCTTATCTACTTCAAATTCCAAAGCTTCTGTGAAAGGTCAACTGAGTTCTTTGCGTGCACGGACATGTATATCTATTTCGTCAATGACGCATCATTGAAGTGGGTCCCCTTCTATCAATTCGGTTCGGTTTCAAGTTCTGCCAGTCTCGACCCTGAGACCCTGACCAACTGTCTCACACAGCTTTTCAGAGTTTTCTCGGACGTCCCGCTCCGGGTTATCCTCTTTGACGCATGTGCAGAGTTGATGAAGTTCCACGCGCACCAGACTTCTGTGTGAGTGCGCAATGGCTCGGAATCTATGGCTTCAATCTTCAGCCTACCTCGGGCTCAGGGAGCATCTTCAGAACCAACACTAGTCTGGTACGTGTCAAGTTGAGACCAAGTTATATATTTTCGGCATGTTCCTGTTTAAAATCAAGCCTTGACACAAAATTACACGCCTCGGGTTTAGGTTCAAAGGGAAAGCGGATTCATGAAGAACGCTTCCATCACAGGGGAACGTATCAGGGCTCATAAGTCGGAGACGGAGTCACATCGATAATCCCTAGAATGGTTTACATATTGCACCGTCATTCACTCTTGCGCGAAAAGTATAATCAGCGCAATTTAACTCTTTGTCGACAGCCACTTCATCCTTACCAGGCATGGTTCATAGAGGTGTTAAAGGGATGTAAGTTCATATTCCGCAGCCTCTTGCATCCAGGCCGATTGCGCAAGTTTAGGTTTTATTAACCCCATCGGTGCGAGTCCCCTTTTCTATCAAATCACATGGACGTGCTAAGGTTAAGTACTAAGGTTAAGTACTAGAAATGCGAATAATGCAAAAATCCCTAAATATTGGTCGGACTCGTTAAACGGAAGTACTCTCTGTTCTGGGCTGTGACACATTTTTAACAAGGTAAGCGTCCCAAAAATATCCTTTTATTGAACCCGCCCAAATCGAGTACTTGTCTCAGAGTCGGTCGTGGTCGACGTGCCATACCGTCGAAGGTAATCAACCCTAGCTCCTTTAGAACTTAACTAAGGGTCGGGGCGTTTTCGGTGTGACTCAAACGACAAACACCCGGCGTTAGGTATTCGCGAAGCTACATGAGTTTCGCTTTGCAATTTTGTTCCCACTTCTCTAGACATGAAGCGTCAGTTCATCAAATCAACCCGCATCAAACAGTCTAGGCATCCACATATTTTCCACCCTCTCACCTCCGGGCGCCGTCGTCTAAGCTATTGCCACGATTTCCCTCGGATCCTCTTCTGCATACCCCGTCGTTAAAGGCAAAACGAGTTTGACGGAAACTTTGACCCCAATCACTCCATCCAGCGACATGCTACTCCACGTTGGCTTCAGGAACGAATCCAGTCCGTTCCCGTCTTGATCATGGCGGGACCACCAACATGGAGTATCCGTACATCCCAGCTGGTTGTGCAAGTATCGGCTGCGCCACGTCCCGTCTTCGACGCATCCATTTGAAGATGTCACATTCACTACTCCAATTCTGGTCAAGTACTTACAACGCATTCATAAGTGAGTTGCACGAGTGTCGTGTTCTATCTCACCTGTCATCAAGGCACCATCACTGATGGTAATTGGACGGGCGTGACTTGTCGGGCGTGGATGTGGGGATACTCAATGCTCAATATTCGCATAAGGAGGGCCTATGGATCACGGTCAGTTATGTGCGACTCTGAGATAAACACATGCAAATCCGCAAATCCGTAACATGGTTGGTGACAGTGTACATACATCTACAATATTTCTAGGGTCCTAACGTTCATCATGTTGTGAATAGAAGCCACGTCTCTGACTTGTGCAATGATAGCGCAATCTGACGCAATTCTCCTGTATTCTCCGCTGTGCTGTTGCGCGAGCAAAAATGCGCCGAACGGCTGTCCAAGGCGAACAACCAATCGCAATGCTCGTGAGTGAGATTCTAAATCGACCGGCTCTTGTTCTACAGAAGATTTGAGCATGGACCGATCTTCATCCTCGCTCTGCATATTGTCTCCAAAGTCGTGCAGTTCTGCAAAGTCAGGTAGCCCGAGCAGACACCGATTCCAGGGACGGACAAGCAAGAATGTCTGCAGAGTTGGCCTTACAAACTGAATCAGCGTCTCTTTAGTGGTGATCTCCAGGTCGTGAAGCCCATCTGCCTTGACTCCATACGTGAAATGAGCAGGCTCCTGGGCTGGACCATGCCCCTGTCTAACCTGTGCAGTGACCCGGAATGCGATGCAAGGCAGGTGCAGTCTGCAGTTCGCGAAACGAGGAGCGCTCATCTTGTCAAGCTGGGTATATAGTTTCAAACCCAAATCCGCTGCCTCAGTATTTCGCAGCGACGAAACGGCTGTCTGAATCTCATCTTCATGCAATGATGGCAGGGTGGATGGTGGAGCTGCGTATGAGATAATATTGGCAGGAAGACAACTATTGAACTCGGATGATTCTCCGACCCAATCGAGGGCAAGTAATATCGCCTGATCGAGCTACGATCTCCTGCAGGAGCCGCCCGAGCGCGTTTTGCTTATTCTCACCATAAAGGATAGGTAGTTGAATGCGGAATATGCCAAACAGTGAATAGGCGATATCTTCCGGTACGGTGGTGACACGTTTAGACGCCCATTGGAGTTTCTCTCGAGCATCTCTCATCCCTGGTTGGAAGGCGACGAGGGCCCGTGCATCTATGCCCGTCACATTCTCTAACTCGTGCATGATCTCGACAGACTCCTTGTGGTTAGGGGAGTGGTCGTTGAGATATGGAGTCCAATCCTGTTGATAGAAGAGGATAACTTTAGGAGCCAGGAATTCCGGGACGGTCCATCCTCGAGTGTTCCAGGCGCTCTTTGCCAGTGCACCAGGCTTGGATGAATGCGGAACATCCGACAGGTAGACAATTGTGAGCGTTGCATGGTGATACCAGGCAAACATGGAGTTGAGTGACTTTTGGACCTCGACATTGTTGTGCTGGTCGATGCAGCATGAATCAACCCACGCCCAGCGTAACCCAACCTTTCGAGTAATTTCGCAGAATGATTGCAACTTCACGAGACTGCCAGCTGCCTTCAACTGGTAAACGACCTTGTCCTTGACGTCATGCAACAGTGGCTCCTTCCCTTCCCATCTATGCGATAACATGGCACAACGGAAGTACGTTTCCACTGCTTCTGTAATGTGTTCCATTCGGTGGTCTGCATGCTTCATAGTCAATGATAACAGAAGCTCGTTGTACTCTGTGCTTGTTTTGAAGGCGTGTAATTGCTCCTCTTGGTCACATAGGAGCCCGGTGGCAGTGTTGAGTAGACGGAGCGGCCGCGGGGTAACATCAAGTTCAACGTCAACGGCCTTTCGAATGTCACGTTCTACTTCGGAGGGACTGACATATTGCTCACGCAGCTCTGAGGAAAGACTTGAGCATCTGGACATGTGTATTATTTAGAGCTTACTTCGTGTCTGCATGTCGGGAGCACTGTCCAATTTGGCGAGCATCACATCGAAAGCTTTGATAGCATGATCATAACGTTGTGCGCCATGAAGCGCTATATACTTCAACTGGTAACCGATATGAGACGAGGGGTTGAGTTCAATGACCTATGTATTGCCAGATTGAACATTGGTTGCAAAACAGTAGATGTCATCGCACCTTTTGTGCGTCGAGAAGCGCATCCTCCCAACATTTTTTCCAACCTCGCCTTACTACGGTTTGCAAAGACTGTGTCATTTGCAAAATTCAGGTCAATCACCACAGAGTATAGGTCAATAGCTCTGTCGTAATTGCTTGCGGTAAATGCGGCATCTCCTTTTGGAAGATAGAACGCGCTGCAATCTTGCCTGAAAGCTGAGTGAAAAGCGGATGAGAATCATAGACTGCGTAACAACGTAAACTCCAGACTTGCCATTGGACCAATCAACGCAGCGGGCCTTTGTGGTTTCATCAATTATATCCATCATTTCTCGGTACGACCTTAGGGCTTCTTGAAGGTTACCTCCCTGACGAAGTGCGTCACAAAGTTTCTGGTGTGCATTTTGCCACAGGAACTTCAGATCCCAACCGAACAGCTGCAAAAAGTACGCGGTTGAGCACTGAAAGCACATTCAGTTACATCATAACATACCACCACCAGGTCCTCGTAAATTAGATGTATATCCAAGTTGGATGAGAAAGTGCTGGAATTGACAGCGGCAGTGAAGTGGTCAGCAGCTTCGTCATAACGGGCGCCATTCAAGGCATTGATTCCAAGCCGAACATGTAGATAGGCCTGATGTTTGAATTGGTATAAATGCACGAAACCTGGGCTTGATTAAGACACTCACTTCTACGACACGACACGCAAGAGTATCGACATTCGGACAAGCGGCAGCTAGCTTCCGGACACGGAGAATTGCCTCCTCATGCTGATCCGCATTGAAAATAACGATGGCCTGAAAACTGTAATGAAGCACGGAATACATGAGGAAAAATTCAACATGCCTTGATCAAGAGAAGAAAATGAGTGATTTTTGGATCTTCGTTCGTGAACATGAATGCGAGATCAAGTTCTTTCCTCGCGTCTCCGAGTTTCCCTTTGCCGCATTGGGCGATGCCCATAGAGATATAACCAATCAAGGAGGGCTGGATAGTGACTGACTATGTCACGATGGAAGTTAGCTTGCTTTCACAAGGCGCTGATGATCGGTATATCTTGCCTTGATTGCATCCTGCAGCGCGTGGTCCCAGCAATGCTTGCGTGCCAGTACGAATGAACGGTTGGCATAGGAGGTGTAGTTGTTGATATCAGTGTCGATATCTTGTGTTAGAAGCTGTTCAGCGGTAGATAGGTCGCCCATGATACATGCACCGCGGGCGGTCGCGTTGATGGCGAGGATTTGATCAGATACTTGAGCCTTGACACCAAACAAATACACGAGATGAGATGACGGAGGGATATGAAATCACCGGGAACCTACCAACTCCGAGTAGGGTACTTCCCACTCTGAGATCATCTTATCATTACCTCCACTGAGGATGTGCTTGCCATCCATGGAGAAGGTGACACATAGCGCACAGTCCGAGTGCTGGAAGATGGCAATGATTCGTCGATCTGAGAGCCGCCAAAGACGGACATCGTTGTCTTCAGATGCGGACGCGACGAGCGTGCCACTAGGATTGACGGCAATGGCATGGACGGTATGGGTATGTCCCGTCCAGGGATCACCGACCTGCATCCAGGTCGATGGATCCCACTCACGTATGGTGGGATCCTTTTGATCGCCAGCCGAGAGAAGACGTGTGCCACCGGGCGTCCACGCGAGACAGAAGTTTCGTCCAGTGTGACCCTTGAACTTTACGACGCGTTCCCTCGTGCCACAATTGAAAATGTTGATATCACCGTTTGTTGCGACGGCAAGAATTTCACCATCTGGTGAGTACCGAACGGAGCGGACGATACCCATACAGTGATATTGGTTTCCTTGTAACCAACGCCATGTTTTCGTGTTCCACAGCTTAGCCGTTCGATCTGATGAAGCAGTGGCCAGCACTGTTCCATTGGGAGAAAAGTCCAGCGTGAGGATCCGTTCAGGGTGGGCTGCGCCAATGGCTTGGTGGAGAGGTTTCCCAGTTTCTCCGTGCCAGGCGATGAGCTCTCCGTCCCAACCACCACTTGCTATGAATTGCCCATCCCGTGATACCGCGAATGCGCGCACCATTTCGTGATGCCCAACCATTTTCTTTAACATGACACCTGTCTCCAAGTCCCACAGACGAAGTGTCTTGTCCCGCGAGCCAGTAATCATGCGTTGTCTATCTGGGAAAACTGCTACAGCATGTATTATATCTGTATGATCTCTAAATGTTCGAAGGGGTGTGGTTACTGTGGTGCTTGGATTGAGGAGCTGCGACATGTTGCTGGAGGTCATGATAGTGATTAAATTGAACACGGCAGAAGTGGGCTTGTCTGGAGGGATTGATGGGGTGTTACTACTGCAGTGGTGTGTGTGGTAGGTGTTTTGACGTCACAGACGGCGGGGGGCAAAGTAGTTACCGCCATCACGGCTGCAGTAAGTTTATTTTGACACACGTATAAACCTCCCTGCGCCTAGAGACAGCTTCCAAATTGTATCCTCTTTGTACTACCAATTGGTACTTTGAATCTAACTGATTTTCCAGCCTGCAAACTTCCACGCGCCAGAGACTTGTGTATAACTTCACTCTTCAGTCTACAGCATCCTCGGAGCCAGTGTTACTTAGTTAGCCTAGTACTACACGTCGAGTCGAGACTCGAGAGACTAACTTGAATTCTCCAATGTGAAGTCATAACGGAGATCGGTCCGTCGGGGTTGAAAGTGAGTTCCGAATTTGGAATTCACCGTCAATTTAAGTTTCCGTCGGACGACACGGAAATCCAGCTGGCTCGCAGTCTTGCACGAAAAGTATATGCTCAGCGATGACGCAGCAGGGTGGAGGCAACATCACGGAACCCGTCTCGTGGTTTCACTCTTTGTCCACAGCTGCTTCCGTCTCGTCACTTGTCAGACATGGTTCATGGAGAAGAACGAACACCACTCGTAAATCAAAGCGACATTGAGGAGGGTCGTACAACTCAGGCCCAGTATGGTTCTTCTTCTTCTATGAGAACTTCTACTTCTGGTGAGCACTTGTGAACATTTATTAGACCCACCCATAGAAGAAAATACAGGTGCCAAGTTGCCAAAGGATACCAGCAAGCGCAACTCGATGTTTAAGAAACGAGTCCGATATTATGTTCCGTCTACTGCATGGATACCTGACTATTCGGTTTCCCTGTGAGTAGACATGGCAGTATCAACCACATGAGCTTATATTCGTCAGCTTGGGCGGCGATCTTCTGGCCGGAGTCACTCTTGCGGCTATGCTCATTCCCCAGTCTGTCAGTTATGGAACTTCACTTGCGAAACTGAGTCCTACAACTGGTTTGGTACGCCCTTTCATGTCTTTCCGATGAAATGTTCATTTCTCTCTAGTTTGCTGCCGCCATACCGCCGATCATGTACAGTCTTCTGGGAACGTCAAGACAACTTAATGTTGCTCCAGAGGCTGCGCTTTCACTCCTCGTTGGACAAGCAGTTTCCGATTATCGTCGTGGGGACCATCATACTCGTCCGGAAGACGCCGATGCCATTGGTATTGCAGTTTCCACTGCCATTCACTTTCCAGGTAAGTAATGGTTTGTTGGGGCTAGAACATTACCTCAAAAGAGACTCATATGACACATTATAACTTTGTAGGTTGGGTTGTTTGCGTCGATGCTTGGATTCTTTCGGCTAGGCTTCCTGGATGTTGTCCTCAGTCGTGCGCTCCTCCGAGGATTCGTGACTGCAATTGCGGTCGTCATTACGGTGTGCGTACAATCGTGAAAAAGACGACCCACGAAGCGCTCAAGTTGTATCACAGAGAACAACTAATACCTATGTTTGGCCTCGTTGCCCTGGAGAACCAGATGAATCCCGAGTCAACCTTGGACAAGATAGTTTTTCTTCTAGAATATTCATGGAGTGATTACCACAAACCGACGATGCTGGTCAGCTTCGGGGCGCTGCTCGTGCTCATATTCATGAGAATTTTCAAAGGTTACTTCAGACGAACTTGGTGGATCGAACGACTCCCTGAAGTCCTGCTCGTTGTCGTGCTCTCTACAAGTATGCCCCTCGTCTTCTTGTTTTTGTTCCTCTGACTGGTTTGCATAGTAATTTCAGGCTATCTACGTTGGGACGAAAAAGGTGTCGGTATCCTCGGCAAGATACCTATCAGCACTGGTGGTCATTTCTTTAGCTTTCCGCTGAAACAATCGATAAGCTACATCAGAGGAACGACATCGACCGCAGTGTATGCGCATAATTTCCTTCGCGAATACATTTATTAACATCAATCAGTTTGATAACTATCATGGGTTTCTTGGATAGTACCGTTGCAGCGAAGCAGAACGCCGATCGCTTTGGTTACTCCATCAGTCCGAACCGTGAACTCGTTGCACTTGGGGCTGCCAACCTTTTTGGATCTTTCGTTCCTGGCACGTTGCCAGCATTTGGCTCAATCGTGAGGTCGAAGATTAATGGCGATGTTGGTGCGCGCACGCAACTGGCCTCCCTTGTTACTGCCGGCATAACATTGCTGGCGACATTCTTCCTTCTCCCGTATCTATACTACCTGCCTCGATGTGTCTTGGCCTCGATGTACGTACCTTTCATTTCCGCTTGGTCTGTGGCGTTGATTTGCCTTCAGCATCTGCCTCTTTGTGATATCACTATTCAGCGAGGTTCCCCACGACCTAATATATTATTGGAGGTGCGATAGGTTGTCTTGTATAGTCTTAGGGTGCTGACGACTGACATCAAGGATCGGAGCTTGGACTGACCTTGCGATGATGTTCCTCACTTTCTCGCTATCTGTCATCTGGAATGTTGAGATCGGAATCATCGTCAGTCTCATCATCTCTTTGCTGCTTGTTATCAAGCGTTCCTCGCACACTCGAATGATTATACTGGTATGTCATTACCTACAACATTTTTAAGCGCTCAGACGGTGTTGCAGGGACGCATTCCTGGCACTCATCAATGGGGGCCCATTGCTGACAATCCGGGCGCTGAAGATGTTCCTGGTATATTAATCATTCGTATCAGAGAGAGTTTGGACTTCGGTGCGGTTCTATATCATCTTATCGGATGCCGACGAAGCTCAATACACGTACCAGCTAACACGGCACAGTTGAAAGAACGTCTTCGTAGACTGGAATTGTATGGCCCAGAAAGAACTCACCCTTCAGAAGAGCCAAGGAGGCAGCCCGCAAGCACACTAGTATTCCACATGGCAGACGTCGAAACGTGTGATGCCTCTGCAGTGCAAATCTTCCATGAGCTGTTGGAGACGTATCAGGTAAGAGCTTACGCAACTTTGAAAACTTTATCTCATTCGATCAGAATCGAGGCGTCGAGCTCTTCGTGACTCACCTTCGTTCCGGTCCTCGAAAAATGTTCGAGCGCGCAGGTATTGAGGAGCTCCTAGGCTCCGAGGCATTCTTTGCCACCTTAGGAGATGCCATGACCAGCATTGGGCAACAATGAAGGATCCGATTTGCGTGTGGTTGTTGTTTGGCGAAGATTTACGACCTTTGACGACCTTTTGACGAAGGTAATGCATCGGGCACATAGACTACTGGTACTCGGAGTATATGGCGGAGCTTGCGAGTGGATAGTACATACATATGCATTCTACTTATGTAATACATTTACATCTGAGGTTGAAATTGAAACTCAAGAAGTGTTGACACCTATTATTAGCACCTATTATTATAACGTTCTTGGGCTCATTGCTGCTCACGTTCAGGGATGGCCGTTAATGTTGCCAGTTGTCTTATCCGTGCTCCTCATGGCTCCTCATGGCTCCTCCGCTAGGTATCTTGCATCCACATCATCATATCATATCATATTTTGATTGAGCCTCAGAACGACAATTCGAACGTTCTGTGGCCATGCATGGTTACGATAATAACTACGTACATTGAGCTCGCTTCCTTGATCGAGACTATTTTAGCGCGAGTCTTGGACGCTATAAAACCAATGATGAAGTTCTTCTACCGGCTTAAGCGCCGTTTTCCCACTTTTTGTTGTTTTGTTGCTCTTACAGCTAATGCGTTCTTTCCTTATACCTGTCCTTTCATTTACACTCGGCCTCGCCGCCAGTGCGATTGCCGACCCCACTCTCTCTCCTTGGCGGATTCACGAACAGCGTTCCAATATACCCGCAGGATGGAACCGTGCACGAAAGCTTGATTCTTCTGTGTCGATTCCCTTACGATTTGCGCTTGCCCAGTCGAATATCGAGAATATCGAAGAACTTCTCTACGATGTGTCGCATCCTGACTCATCTAATTACGGCAACCACTGGTCTGCAAGTCAGATTGCAGCCAAATTTGCCCCGAGTACCGAGTCTATCGAGACTGTGCGCTCATGGTTGATCGAAAGCGGTGTGGAACCCCACCGCATAAAACTCTCTCCCACCAAGGGGTGGCTTGAAGTGGCTTCTACTGTCGAAGAGGCTGAAAATCTTTTGCTTGCCAAATACCATATGTACGATCACAACACCGGCACAAAACATATTGGTGAGTCTTGTGATTATAGTGCTCATTGACCTGTTTTTAATTTTGACCACAGCCTGCGAGAGTTACCATTTGCCAGAGCATGTGATCCCGCATGTTGACTTTGTGACTCCTACCATACATTTTGATGCCAGGATCCAAAAGCGTGATCAATATAGCAGAGTCCCGATTGGCCAACCCTGGTCAGGGTATCACTCCCAAGACGACCGGTCAAATCGACAGCATTTTGGACCAAATTGAGGATTGTGATCAGCAAATCACGCCAATTTGCTTGAGGGCTCTCTACGGACTTTGGTATCAGCCAGTCGCCGGGAGCAGCAACAGCTATGGAATTGGTACGTTACTTCCGCCGTGCAACTATGCTAGGGACTGACCGACCACGAAGTGGAATATACCCCACAGATCTATGTGCAGTCTGATCTTGACATGTTCGCAAAGAATTTTTCAACTGGTCTTGAAGGAGTTTCCCCTACGCTGGTCTCGATCGATGGAGGTACCATTGCAACTCATTTTCCGCAGAGAGCGACTGATCAAGATGGTTTTGTTAGGTACCCTCCCGACTTCTGACTCTGGCTCTTCTTTTGACTACAATGGGGAATCCAACCTCGATCTGGAGTACGGTATGACCTTGGTAACAAAGGGACAAAACGTTACTCTTTACCAAGTTGGAGATTGGGTTCAAGGTATGGAGACGACCGGTAAATTCAACATACAAGGCTAATTGCGCCGACGTTTAGGTGGTTCTTTCAATACCTTCCTTGATGCCCTGGATGGAACATACTGTACATACGACGGCGGTGATGATCCCTCCCAGGATCCTGTTTATCCTGACACCGCTAGTGGCGGATACGACGGTAAGTTTTTCAAACATGCTCATATTCGAACTATATTCAGCTGCATGATGCAGGCAATGAGGAATGCGGAGGTGTCAAGCCTGCAAACGTCATTTCCACATCCTACGGATACAATGAAGCCGACCTCTCTGCCGCTTATGCTATTCGCCAATGCAACGAGTACGCAAAACTCGGCCTCATGGGCGTCACTTTCCTCTTCAGTTCGGGAGACTCGGGTGTTGCAGGCAGCGATGGCTGTTTAAATGCCGATGGTAAATTCGCAGATTATCCAAGTCTCGTCAAACCCTAGACTTATTTTATCTCAGGTACTCAAACCGCGGACGGTAAAATCTTCAATCCCTCCTTTCCTGCTACATGCCCGTATGTCACCGCGGTCGGTGCCACACAAGTTAGCCCCGGTCAGAATGTATGGGAACCCGAAAACGCGTGTGAACAGGTCATTTACTCTGGTGGTGGATTCAGCAACTACTTCAGTATGCCCAGCTACCAGAAGGGAGCAGTCGAAGGGTATCTAGAAATTAATCCGATCCCGTACTCGAAGGATATCTACAACTCTACCGGGGTATGTCTCTTCACAGTTCAGGTTTAGTCAAAGGCAAGGTTGACCATTCTTGCAGTCCCGTGCATATCCCGATCTTTCTGCCAATGGAGCGAACTACGTCGTTGCTATTGACGGTAGTTTCCAGCTCGTGTACGGAACGTCCGCGGCTTCACCTGTCGTCGGTGCTATCTTAACCATGGTGAACGACGCTCGTATCGCGCGCGGTAAACCACCTCTTGGGTTCATCAACCCCACCGTGCGTCATGCACCACTCTTCTAATTTCAAATTGTAGCTGACATTGTTTGAAGATCTACTCCACTGCTTTCGTACCCAGCTTTAAGGATGTCACCAACGGAACGAACCCAGGGTGTGGCACTCTGGGATTCAATACAACTAAAGGTTGGGATCCTGTTACTGGCCTCGGGACGCCCTACTTTCCCTCTCTGCTCGCCAAGTGGCTGACTCTTTAAGCTCTTTCTAAGCAGAGGGCTTTCAAATGTACTCGGACTTGGACCATACTGATACCTCCGTACTGACTATTTTTCGAAAATACTTACATTCGATAAAACATATTACACATTGGCACTTGAGAACGTTTGGGTGTGCCTATTTAACCCTTATATTGGACGCGACGCAGTGCTCTCTGTCTGAGATAAGCCTGTACAACCAGTTGCTCGATCCTGGTGGAGTGATGAATTCAGCAAGTGCATTAATGGAGGGGGGCAGTAAGTCACCTTTGTTTCACCATCATAGCTGTTCCTTGCCTCAGTATGCCCTTGAACAACTGCGCCGAGAGACCACGGTATAAGGCGAAGAATCCGCCAGCGGTATATATTCCTTGGAGTGATGATCGTATTGATGCGCCCTGTGATGAATTGTTGGTTGAATTAGATCTACGAGAAGCTTGTACGACAGTCTTTGCGAGCAGCAGCGGGTATAACATAATGACGGCTTCGTGAGTCGCGTATTAGCACTTGTTGAACAACAGTACTGGAGAGGTGACTCGCCTATGGAATTTGCAAGCGCGCCCCCTACGAAGGAGTGGCCTGGAGGTGGGGAGTCACGTTCCTTCCCCTTGAGCATCACACGTCTGTACTGCTGGAACAGATAGAGTGTGACCGCAGGATTGAGCGAAAGCACAAAATTGGATGAGAACCCTATGGCCATTATCATAAGTTGTGATGGTCGAGCGAGCGCTTCTTGAAACACAAACCTTTCCAGAATCCCCGTAACCCCTCTTCTCGAAGTATTTGTTGGCAAATTGCCGTGAACCGTGACGTTCCTCCTTGTGCCGAGGAATCATCGCTCACTCGAGCGGTCTGCAAGCGCACCGTAATGAGATTGAGAGGTGTCGTGATGGATCTACTAGCAATCCCTGATAGGTAACCAATTGCAAGCTCCTGTGGAAGAGACAACATGGCTGCCTTCGACTTCCCATTTCCGCGAACAACGACTGCTCGCAGGAAGGAATACACGTAGTAATACAGAAAGCTGATTCGAACGACGATGAACAACTCTCTTAGACGCGGAATGCAAGAGCTACTGACCTTGAAAGTAGAGTAGCACCAGTATCTGCCCCAATGCCATCGTATAACGACGATAGTCCATAGGTGTGGATCTGTTTGCGTATGGATGTGCCCTTCTCTGTGGCCTGTATACGGGTGGTGATGAGATCGAGTGGGTAAGTCAGCGCATTGGCGCTCGCTGCTCCCAGTGAGCCTGATGCTGCCTGAACAAAGGGTGGTAGAACGCTGGTCATGGTAACTTCCAGGATCGAATTCGGGATGAGTTGGTCAAGACAGAACCTGTGAACCGCACTGCCGCGCAATTGGCATTAGTTCTCCAACCGAACAAGCGTTAAGAGTAGTAATCACATGTGAACGTTAACGACAGCGGTGACAGCCTTGGGAAGAATTGGATTTGTAGAGGTTCTCTACAGCAATTGCAACAAGGTGTCGTTGTGAAGCTCCTATATCTCAACCTAATATTGATCTAGGTGGTGAACAGATGAAGTTCATCAAACCCTCTCGTTCACGAAGGAAAGAGACCAGCCTTATTCGGCTGCAATGTAAATGCCGATCAATATCATATTACGTCATAATACATGTAAGCGAGTAAAGCACTTTAAATTACGTAAATCCCTACTACTAGTCATAGTCTCCCCCTAGCCAGACCTATCGAAGGAAGGAGTCGTTCCCCACAGTCACACGAATACTATGTAGGTGCGTCACATCGACAAAAGCATCTCGTAATACTAGAGACCGATTCCCAGACTTAAATCGGCCCCAGCAAAATATGATGTCGAAGCGGCACTTCTCACTCAACCTATACAGGCCGCCATGACTAAATGTTCGATCTGGACATAATTGTTCTTTGATCCAACGTATGAACTACTCTGAACGGGTACTACATATATATAGCATTCAAAGTGTGCACAGCTGACCCGCAGCACGTAATGACATAAACCCTTCACAGCCATGTGGAAGTTAGGAATGCTTCCTGCCTCAGGTTTGCCACTGCCTCTGCATCTGATTCACGATCGGCCCGCCACGCCCTCACTTCTACTGCTCTCGCTATTTCCTGCAAGGCAATCGCACAGCCTCGGTGTGCAGGGGGGAATGCACTGAGCAGAGCGCGATGAGTGAGAATCGTGTCCAGGTATTCGCCTCCTGTCGTCCGGAAGTGTGATGACGCGGGGTAGGGGTACGGGGATGGAGAGAGCACGTGGGATTCGGGGGCGAGTGAAGCGAGGATGGATTGGAGGAAGTGGCATGCGGGGAGTGGAGAGCGTGGGACTATGATAGAGGAGGTGGGCTGGTGGTTGGTGATTGTGGTGAGGGGGTCGCAGGAGCTGGACTTTGAACTTGATGATTCCGCGTCGGACTAGATGAGTCGTAAGTTTAATGATGGGAATTCCAATGATTTTAGTTGCACTCACATGGTACGCTGGATCCTCTATGTTTGCAGCGTCCTCGCTTGCCCTTTGCAAGGCATAGGGGACAGCAGAGACCGTTGGATCGTCTTCGGGAGCCTTTCTCCATTACGGAGTCAAACTTACGTATGACGGGAGGAGCTCGTGCTTACCTTGGTCTTGCCTTTCGACAAGGTCAGTGTTTGTAGAAGCTCACAAAGGTCAAAATCGGCGCCGTATACCTACATGGCGAGCGTTAGAACTTGCTTCTGAGAACTGATTCGGCGTCAATGTTATCTCACTGAAATTCCGTGGCTGTGCGATTCATCGTAGTCCGTCACGATCACGGGACCGACTGGAGAGTCCATGTCGATATCCATCATAATGTAGCAGTTATACAATAAACACTAGCGTAAATGCAGGGAATACACGAAGAATCGGTGCTGGGTGTAGAGAACAGATGAGGTGATATGGATCGCTCGTGTGGTTGCCGATAGCTATATGTAGCTGTTCTCCGAGGGCATGCGGAACCGGTTACCCTGCCTCGTGTATCAGGGAAGGTTAAGAAGGTCTTCTATTATTGGCTAGCTTTCTAAATGTGGTGACACAACGCGGTACAGGGCAAGAGATCTAAGCCAGAAGGCCACTGGCGAACATGCAGGCGAGAGAGTTGCTTGCAAGGGTAGCCGAGGCGCACTGTGCTGGTCACGGCAGGGCGCAAGACAAATTACGGACAATGCAATAAATCGATTAGTGAGTGCACAATCGTATGCATCTATAGCCAGCTGAAATTCTGCAGATGCCACAACGGGCAGACAGTGCCGAAGAGGAGGATAAGGACGCCAGGCACACTCTGAATCACTGCCATATCCGCACCACAACCAGATATTTCGGTGCGTATGCTGGGATTATAGGCACGTTGCGCTGGCAGAGATTATCATGGTCCAGACCTATAGCCACCGGGAAACGTTCATCAGTATCCACTCGTCAAGACACGCATGTAGTCAGAATGAACATAATTCAGAGAGAAGATCATCGATCTTGCTGCTAAAGCAAGAATTTCGATCATACACAAGCGTCCAAAGACCTCGCGTCAAGTGATAAATGGATACATTTAATTCATCATACACACTGGAAGATGTAAAAACACTGACTTAGGGAAGCACTTACAGACGAAAGCTCCAGTCAAGTTGCCTCAGAGACCCGGACAGGCCAAATGTATATCAAATTCATACTATGTGGCAGTGAGGAATTTTGGTCATGTTGAGAAGTCAGTTAAAAACCGTTGGTCCTCCGACCCGCACACGCAATATTAATTACATAATACTATGGAGTTTTTGCTAAGTAATTTATTACACAGAAAAGGAAATCTGCTTACGTGTCTGCAAGCTAATTGGTTGAGGGTCTTCACTAAACAAAAACTCCTATTATCAAGGTCTACCGAGGCTACGCCCTTATGAGGTGACTGAATTGTTGATCAACCCTTGAACGTTGGACCACAGAAGAGCAAATTTTGAGTTAGGTTTAGTGATTCGCACTGGAAAGTCTGGGGGCGATACAGGGAATTCTTGCGACTCGGAGGCTGGGCTTCATAGCAAACGATGTCCAGGTATCGTGCATGTTGAGCGGTGAATCAGCAGAAGATCCAGAACAGCTTTTGTTGCATTCCCTGCGACCTAATGGTCTACCTTATATGTATATCCAGTTTATGTCCATTGAGAGTATGTACTCTATGTGGGACAATACATGCTAGCCGTGGAGCCCCTGTGCCCCTTCATGCTTCTGAAGTCGCGAATGCCCTGGCGTGAGGCGTACCCCCATATGCAGTCCGCCGTTCCCTCCGGCCGTTTTAGACGTGCACTTCATTGAAGGTAGAATGACTTATAGGTATTTGCGGTGTATTTAGATGTTGCAGTGTGTTATGCTGTCGCGTTCTCGCTCGCTTGCGCCGGGGATGGTTTACCCTGACCTCATACCATCAGCAAGCTGATCCATAATGTCACAGCAAGCGATGAAAAGATTCGAGAAAATGCGTGAATTTTTCTAACTATGAGGGACCCAGTCCCATGTGACATATTGCAAACGAGAAGAAAATGTGACTAGAGTCTATGAAGCAATGCGATACAGTCCAGAAACCAATCAAAAAAGAAGCCCACCCCGCTGCAGCATGTAGTAAAGATATTTTTCAACCTCTCCGATTCCTACTGGACCGGCGCTTACAACGGAAGGCGCTGCTTCTCACTCATGGAAGCGGGCTGAGCGACGACGTTCTGTCATGAACAAGAAAGAGGAAATGACAGTTCGTCAGCACGATTCAGAAAGGCACGATACCAGGACCGACGTTGGAAAGGGTTCCGTAATTGGGGGTACTGGCTCTGAGGTGGGTTCGACTGACTCACCTCATCGTCAGCAAGGCGGATGCGAGTGCTCTGAGCCTTGGCACGGGCGCTCTTGACGAATTTGGAGAGGACGAACATGCCGAGGAGGAAGATAGCAGCCAGAATGGCAAAGACAGTGCTGGAGATCGCGTTTTGGGAGCCAATGTGGAAAAAGTCATCATCAAGACCTGAGCTGCAAGCAGCGGCCCATTGCTTCTGGCTGGTAATGGCATAGTTCTGGAACAGTGGTATTAAGACGAGCAAAATCAAAACTAGCGCAGGTGCCTACCTCGATCCTGTAGATGAATTCCGTTGCAGCAATGTCAGACCTGTGGCCGAAAGCATGGTAGGTCTCGAAGTCGCCGTTGGTACCGTTCTTGAACTTGATCCTGATGAAGTCACGGTCTTCAGGGGCAGGTCCGCGACGGAGCTTCGAAGGCAAGAGCAGAAGCGTAGTTCGCTGTAGTCCTTGCATTAATCGGCTGAATGCATTGAAGTGAGATCATACGCACGGATACCGCCAAGCTCAGGGTTCTCCTTGACCATCTCAAGCATGTGGAATAGGGAGATGAAAGGTTGGTAGGAGGTCTCAATGAGGAGGAACTGCAGAGGGTCGCCGTTGAATGCAATCCGCTGGAGGGAGCCCAAGACCGTGTGGAGGATCGTGCGGCCAGCCACTGAACAACAATATGATTAGAGGTGGATATCGCACGTGAATCGAAATCAGCTCACAGTTACCAATACCACCGACATCCTTGTCCGAGAAGATGGCGTTCTCGTGGAAGTCAGCAAAACCACGAGCCTGCTCAACCAAGGTGGGGGGAAGGCGGTGAGCGTAGGTCTTGTTGTGTGAGAGCTCGGTCGAGATGTAGTCGTAAATCTAGAAGAAGTTCAGCCCGACATCAGTAATCTTAGTTAGATGGCGACACACATTCCACTAAATCACAGAGGTAATCAGCAGTTATATCAAAGAATGAGAGGTGTAACCTACAGCGTTCTCGAGAGTAGTAGGGCGGCCGAAAACGTAGTCCTTGACAGCACCGTAGAAATGATCAGCAGCCTTTGCGGTCTCCTTGAACTTAGAAGACGAGTAGACACTGGAGATGTGTTGCTCGAAAGCCTGCAAGTCATGGTGAGATCACAGTTCCCCAGGTTTGAACTTTTGTATTGCTTACTGGACAGTCGGTCCATGGCTCAAGGGACTTGTCGTTACCAGGCTCGACAGTCTCGATGGGAACATACTGGTAACCGCCAAGGGGAGCAATAACGGTGGTCTCGTTGGCAAGAACGATCTTGTTGGCAGGGTTGGGAGGGAAAAGACCCTGGAGGAGGGCGATAGCAGAGTCAAAGATCACGGTACCCTCACCGCCAGCCTTGGCGTGGACGTGGACCTCATGGGTGTCCACGAGGTCGGTTTTCATGTCCGCGATATACGAAGGAGAAGACGAGGACATGTAGGTCGAGCGAAGGAAGGATCCGAGCTGGTGAGACTCGGCCTGTAGTGCAGGCTGCATCAGCCAGGGAAGTTACAAGCCGCATACCAGTGACTTACAGCACCAAGAGCAGTGCTTTCGGTGTAGGAGCTCTCATAGGTCTTGGGGTCCTGGTAGTACTCTGTGCGGTCACCATTGCGGGCAATGACGAGAACACCAAGAACGTCAGTCATGTTGGTATTAGTAGGTAGTCGGTGAGGGTTGAGGATTTGGAGAGGAGGAGTGCTGCTGTTCTGTTGTGACAGTTGGAATCCTTGTCCTTAAATCATAGTAGAACGCCAGCCCCTGCGCTTGTATGCCTTGCACTTGTTTAAGCGACGAGTCTAGATCACATTAGGTGAGCAAGGAGAAGGCCTGGAAAACGCAAGGAGGGGACAGCACGGAGTCAATGCATAGAAGCTCGCGGAGAGCATGGCCGTTCTGTAAATTGAAAAGTGCATGTGCACACTCGCTCCCTAACGGCAGAGCCTGAGTGGGCAAGCTCAAAACTCGAAGAAGTTAGGCCTCCTGTGCGGATAAAGAGGTCCCCGTCCTGCTTGAATGACACGATGAGTATCATGCCAAAATCGTGACTATCATGCTTTTTGGGGGCAATAAACAGGCGAGGATTGTGGATAGGCGGGTGATTGATTTTGATGGGGCGCAGGCTAAATGAGGCTCCGTTTACTGTTTTGGGTCAAGACTTGATGCATGACGGACAGCCTGATCCGGCCTCACCAGTACCACGAGTCGGGCTGAACCCCCTTAAGACCACGGAGAGCTTCAATCGTTCACGTTAAGATATATCTCCGCACACTTGTATCAGAAATCGCCAAGGGCTCACCTAGTTACAGAGCACAGCTGCAAAGCAGTACAAAGAAGAGTCCTTAGTAGGCAGCTGCAGAAGGGTTTGCATAGCAGAACTAAGGCAAAGATCGTGAATGAACAGGGGATCTAAGCTTTGACTGGCCGAACCTACAGGGTAGATGTCAATAACCGGAGAAGTCGTGAACATACGCTAGCGGGCATCATCCCAGAAATGAAAAGCATGTTGCCCACGATTAGATAACTGGAATCATTGCAAGGCATGCACCTAGACACACGTAACATTAATATCATCGTTTTTACGTGTGAAAGACAATAAAATATGTACCTGTTCCGACCAGTCAACATACGGCAGCCTCATGGTTCCCCATCCTGAGCACTCGCGGAGATCATGATAGTCCAAGACATGTTTTCTTGCTCACACCCATAGGAAAATGCAGAGTCAAACATGCAAATACATAAGAAGGCGATGGTAAGTGAGGAGTTGGCAACTTCGCGTGCATGAAAAGTCCGACGTTGCAATGGAAGTCACAATATGTAGAAGTTGCGTAATGCGCCTTATATTGCTTCATGCGGCCCTGGCTATTCGAGACACCACGATATAGGACAATAGCGAAGACGCACCAGTACCCAAGTCCCACCGTTAGTGTCATCGCAAAGCGAACAAGTACTTCCCCACACCACATGCACTGCACGCAACAACTGGCATCACTATAGTTTGGGTGACGACCTGACCACACTAATTACATCGGTATAATGTCAACATCACACGCCTTTCAGCTCGGGCGCCGGTGAAGGTCGAATTCGAAAAGTAAGGTCGAGCGTTTCACTTCCGAGTCGTTGGCCAGTATGGTCATCTCAAAAGAATGGTCGAAGTTTCGGTAAGACTCGGACGACTGTGACTGTGTAGCTTCGTTTCGTTCCTGTTCCTATTGTGAGTGTATAATTGAGCGATCGCGAACACAGGTTGTGAGCTGGAACCGTATGAGATACTAGACATGGTATTTCTGAGATGAAAAATGGAAGCAGATTGATTGGGTCACCAATTAGATTTCTCACGCTGACTGCATGTTGACTGCATGTTTGGAATGTTCATGGAAGCATGCTACTTACTAGTACCGGCGACCGCTAGCACTGACCTCCTTCCATAATAATGTTGGATGGGGCCCTTGAGTCACACACCATCTAACCTTTTGTAAGAGCAGAGTACACGTTGGGTGTGGCAAATCTAATCAGTGTAAGTATTACAGAAAGATCTGGCTACAGATGTGAAAAGTCGAGCCCGAGAGCCGTCGCCGTTGGCGTTGAATACGAGCAGCCCATGAACACTTCAATGAGTTGGTAGGCAAATGTGAGAGTGGAACTGGGTTGAGTGCCACTCAATTCGCATGACCCGAAGTACAGATGGTAGAGAAGCCAAGTGAGAATAAACATCAATCGCTTCCATTGGCTATGAGCATAGGCCACTGACGGTTTGTGTCAAGAACCTCAGACCAACGAGGCGGGCCATCCTTTTGCAGTGCCTCCTTCCAAGCCTTGTATGTCTCCTTCTGGTCGCTAGCCCTCGTAAGGGACAATCGAGGCGAAGGCAGTGCACCAAAAGCCTTTTCCCTGGAGGGTTTTCACGTGACGGTGTTTGGTGTAGAGGTAAACGCCCGTCTCGACGGTTCTGACATCCGTCGAAGCTAGGGAAATGATTTCCATCGAGTCTTCTACCGTCTTGGGGTGCGGATGTCCCAAAGCAATGCCTCGCGGTTCCAACACAACGTGTTTACCTTGGATTCACGATGATTATGAAGTAGCGACGGTGTTGAAGTTGAGCCAAGTCTTGCCTTATGGTATGGGACGTGCTTCCCTTATGCAAGCAGCATGGACAAAGACAGCCGACGTTGGAGTAGGTTGTGGTTGCCTGAGCTATGATCAATATTCAATATTCAATCATCAGTCTCGTGGGTGATCACCTCGTTGCGTTCACCTACTTGTCTGAGTTTGAGCCTCGGCGGCCACAGCACATGAATCGCTATAGAAAATGAAGGATTAATGTGGCGAGCGTTGGCCTTCTCGTAGAAGCGAAGAGGCTTGTGAGCAGACAAGTCCGTCACATGCGGCTCCTAACCCGTCAAGAGCTGCGCAGACTCTTGATCGGATATTAGAATTTAGGAACCATCTGGTCGAACAAACATGTTTGGATGTTGGAGAAACAAGAATCCCATTGGAGTGGGCTATCGGTATGACAGGAAGAGATAGCAGCTGCTATGGCAGTGAGCGGGTACTTACTATATGTCCGAGACTATCGTGACGATCCTCCCGGCTGACTCCACTAAAAAACATCTTCCTAATTCGTCGTGCTGACTCGGACATGAATGAAATTAAGTATCTTGTAGTAAATGACCTGAATAATCGAGCCTTCAGCGTCTGGTCGGGGCGTTGTTCATCGGGTGTTTCCCTTCAAGGCTGGCCTTGTAGATGAATCGTGTGTAAGCTACGCCCACTTTCAAAAGGAACAAGATTAGGAATCATCACTGGATCGACGTGTGTAACTGCAACTGACTGAAGGAGGGACTCCGTTTTGAATAACCACTCCTCGCCCGCAGCGATCCCTAACATAGGTGAATGAATAGCATGCTGCACGACTGATAGGGTAGAGCACGGGCACGGGTAAAACCGCGGTGTATCGCTGACAGGTGTGGCGGGTACGGGTACGGTGTGGATTCTGGAGACCCGTGCCTACACCGCGCTTACCCGTGGCGGTTTACGGTGTTGGACGGGTGTAGATCCCTCAGCTTGTCCGAGGGTGCGAGGGTCAAAATTTTATTGCTTATAAAGAACCTCCCGAGTCGGAGCTGTCACCATGTATGCTTCGACCGCAGGTTCATCGAGTAGCAATGTCGATTCAGAGTGACAATCGACGGCACTGGTTATGCTGATTTGCCAGTGGAATGATATTCCATGAGTTCGGACAGAAGCAATAATTTGTGGTGCCCATGTTCTGTACAAGTCAAAAGGCCAATGGATTGTGAAGAAATGCAGAATACTACTCACCCTCCTCTCATGCGCCGCTCAAAGAAGGATGATGAGTCTTCCATCCAATCATACTCATCAAAATTATCTTCGCTAGCATCGTCTCTGAAGTCTGTCAGTCAGGCAGTCAAGAAGAGTGTGGATGTGCTTACCCGTCCTTTGAAGAGAGTCAAAACCGCTTTGCTCTCAAAAAAGACGCGCTCATCGTCATCATCGCTCGAACCATCAGTAATTGATGTCGATGCCATTGACATGGCGATGGAATCTGACTACGAAGAGGACCTGGATGCGAAACTTCGTAAGATTTTAATGAGTTGGATGACGTCGACTGAGGAAGCATATATGAATTACACATGTACTGAAGGGCATCTTGCGAAGGAATATGTATGCGATGTGATCTGATAAAAATGCACATAATGAGCATATTGCATAGGAAAGTTCACTAGAGGACCTCAGGCCTCAGGTCACACATGTACAGTGACACAGAACCACACGCTGGATATCCCTGGACAGTATGAATGATTTGTCGATGATCGATGCTTCTGAAAGGTCAAGGAAGTTTGGATTCTGGAACTGAGTACTAAGTACTGAAGTGCTGATCATCGGATGGTGGCTAACCAAGTAGACGTTTTGCTTCCCGCGAAGAGTCGGACTATTAGACGCTGAGTTGGTAATCGACTTATTCGAATACAATGGTGTTACCATAATTGGTATCCAGGGCCTGCCAATGCTCCACAACACTTACGTCTTTTCGAATACGCTTGAGCCTGCATGCGACAGTACCAATATTTGATTAGGCACCTGTCTCATAAACTGAAGGAGCTATGTAACCTCGACCTTCATCCGTCCTCGTCTTCTCTCGGCGTGGCTCAGTAAGTAATCAGCTGATCGGAGTGCTACTGGCTCATGTGATGCATGATGAACTCCAAATGTTCACATACAAGTCCTGCTCCCATGATCATGTCGCTCGGATATCCCCTTTCGCTTGTCCTTATCGCATAATAAACACATAATAAACCAGAGCTCGGTGCTCAGCGTCTTTAATTTCGTTACTTTCCCCCCACTCACCCGCTGCCTCTGTTTCGCCATGTTAGACTCGTTTGTATCAAGCGTCATCATAACGCTGCATCCACTTTAACTTCATATGTTTCTTGATACGGTATTTCATTGCTGATGGACATAGTTGCCATTATATGCTCTTTACTGGCTGTTGTTGACCGGATCAACGTCTGACCAAACTCTTGCCTCCAAAAGACGTGCTCCAGTGTTCGGGTGTCGTCGGATCCATTACCTCCTTTGTCAAAAACCTCCTAATCATTGGATCATGTTATTTTTGATGATGGCTTGGTCGGTTGTGTCTTCTAGAATACGACTTTCGATTTTCCCTGATGCGGCTAGAGGATGGTCGCGTTGGCTTTAAGCCATGGCTGGTCCCTAGCCTGCATCCCAACTTGGAGGATGGTATTTGCTGTGTGATTATTTATTGGCTCTGAGCACCTTTTCAACTCCCCCCTCTTTCTCTTCCTTCGGCTACTCCAGACAAATTAGTAGCCAGACGAGCAATACTTTGTCACGCTGTTCGTCGCGTCCCCGTCAAAACCCCAAGTAGTCTCATCCCGTGCCATTGGAATGGTAGGAGTTCTTGGACTGTTCTTCCTCATCACGCTAATCATTGTCAAAGGCATTTTTTTTTACACCACGGAGCTCATCGTCACCCCCCGACGATGAGCTCGCGGTACCTGGAAGTCCATATCGTCGCGACCATCCCAATGCAATGTCAAGCTTTAAGTTAGTCTACTGCTCCCTCTTCATAACAAACGTCTGATGCCCCAACTAGCTGTCCCGTGCGGACTTCCCCTCCTTCTGATCCGTCAACATCGTCCAACGGGGCCAGAAGGTTTCCCTCCCCTGGGAGGGGGGACACCGGGACCTCCGGCGTCGCAGCCAACATGTTTGGCTCCGCCACCGCCAATACGTTGGGCTACCACTTCAACACGTCCACCTACTTCGCTCACTTGAATGGTTACATGGGATCGAACATTTCATCCAACAGAGACTTTCCCTACCGCAGCGAGGAAGCTACTACCACCCAGTCCATGATGGACGATATAACACGGCAGCAAGACTACCATCCAACTGCTGATCCCATACATTACGGTTCCTATTGCGAGCTTCAACCTAGCTCGGGCTATGGTGACCCTGTCCACAACCCTCTAAGCTGGTATGGTGCTGAGTACCACAACGCCGCACAGGGAGGCGTCGACGCGTGGTATCCCAGTACTCCGGTTACAGGAGGCAATCCCTCACCATCCGATATACCACCAACGTATGCCTCTCGTCACCGTTTATGAGGAGTTACTTTACTTACAAGTACCCTTGCATACAGGCAGTATCCAGATGGCTGTACTCCTGATCGACCCCAATATGTCTTCCCCAGCACAGATACATCCTCCAGCTCCTACCATGAGCCATTCTCCTACCACCGTGAACCTGAATCATCCGCCCATTATCCTGGGGTGTATCATGGCTCGTGGCCACGATGCGAGGACCATGCCATCTGTGATCCGCAAGTAGTTGGTTCTAGTTTGCCAGAACAACCAGACCCGTCTATGGCACCTTTACCTTTTGCTGCAATATTTTCACCTCCCTACGTAGGTCATGGAGACGATATAAGTAACCCTTCACATTGTCCACCATCCATCCAGCCACATCAAGATCTGCCTCGCCAGAATTCACGTTCTCGCCAGAATTCCCGGCGTCGTCGTAGATCTCATCCTTACGGAACCCACCACTTACCGTCCACTACATTCTCTTGTGGCTGGCTTATCGGAGAAAATACGACTTGCAGATTTGAAGGGCTGCTGGATGCATTCAAGACGCATTTCAGGCGCAGTCATCTGAAAGGGACTCAAGATGCGCCAAATGTATGTTGTTGGCAAGGTTGCACATATCGGAAACGTGACAATGCAGACATTCGCGTCATGCGGCGCGATAGTGTGCGGCGTCACGTCTGGGAGGTCCATCTGGGGATGAAGAGGAACGTCTGATCTTTTTATTTTCGTCACGATATTATGCATTTTCTTCAATGCTCTTGATTGTCCTCTTGGGGAGACCCATCTTGGGATGAAGAGGATCGTCCAATCTTTTTATGTTCATCACGATATTTTCTTCAATGATTTTGATTGTCCTCTTGGGGGAACCCATCTGGGGATGAAGACGATCGTCCAATCTTTTTATGTTCATCACGATATTACGCATTGTCTTCATGTTCTTGATTTTCCTCTTAGTGCAGCGTAACCACGACCTTCATTCGCTCTCTTCTTCTCTACGCATGGATACCTCCTTTCGCTTGTCCTTGCATATCACACAATAAGCACACAATAAACCAGAGCTTGGTGCTCAGCGTCTTTGATCTCATTCCTTTTCTCTCACTCACCCGCTGCCTCCGTTTCGCCATGTCAGACTCGTATAAATAGACTTCACATGTTCACATACAGGTCCTGCTCCCATGCGCACGGCGCTCGGACATTTCATTTCGCTTGTCCTTATCTCACAATAAGCACATGATAAACCAGAGTACTCAGTGCCTTTAATCTCACTACTTTTTCCACTCACCCGCTGCCTCTGGTTCACCACGGTAGACATTATCTTTCCTCCGCCGACTACCTCTTGTTGGCCAGATTGACTGTGCTAAATCCCTGCCTTCAAAATAAACGCATTATTCTGTTGTTCGGCTGACCGGCCCATTGCCTTCTTTGTCAACGACGAGTCCCCGTCCTTGGGTCGTGCCAGATATGTCGACGATGGCATGGCCGCCGGGCCATGTCTTCTAGAATATGACCTTCAATTTGTCCTTTTGGCTGGTGGTCGCATTGGTCATGGCCAGTCCTATGCTTGCACCTCAACTTTGAGATTTATTATTGCGGTGCCGGTGATCCCCAGCTTTGCCTTTCTGACCAGAAAACTCATGAACCAGATAATCACGTAAACCGAAGCGGCGTTACCAAGCACCTAGTGATGTACATCAGGGTACATCGCTGAACTCAGTTGTGACAGTGTGAATTAGCATTTTTCTCAACTTTCCTCTGATACAATACCACAATCAGTTCAAGTCTATTTAAAGGGTATAATGGAACCCATAAGTTGCAAGAAAACAAAATACAAAGTTGCTAAGGAGCTATTCAAAATCTTGCTAATAAATAAATAATGTCGTCATGTTAATTGATCTACTGGTCAAGCAAGGTCGCCGGCGGCAATTCCCGAGTTACATAAATTCAATATTGATTGCATCAAGTTTTACCCCCTTAATATCCATCCACGCGCACCCGGCAACTTTACCATGGGCCGACCAGGCAGTCCAAGGATATTAATGTCGAGGGAACTTGGTTTCAAAACGCGGACATGATTTCAGGGTCAATATAGGATGGTGAAGTATCCCTACAGCACCGTGACCGCAAACGATACTGATAGCGCAATTTGAATATTGGCCTGTCCCCTTGTTCCGTGTTTCTAGCTTCCTCGAAGGCACGAAAGGAAGCTTTCATTTCCTTTGGAGGACTGTCTTCCCTAGCTCAAACTGTGGCCAGTGCTCTCATAAGTCATTTCCTGGACCGTGGGTTTCTCCGCGACTTCTTGAGCATGTTCCATGCTGAACCATCTATTTTCGGTTGCTAGAGAAAAAATACGATAGGTTCGAATTCAATAGGTAGGTTCAGACAAGTTCTCTGCATACCGGCAATGTTTTTTGGCGTATTTCGTACGTCGTTGCCACTTTTCATCCAGTCCGATAATTTGGCTTCTTCAGTTCGGCGTGTTGGTCGATTCTTCGCCGATCAATCACATCGGATTTAAAAGTGTGATTTAGTATCAAAAGTAAATGGGCAATGAAGACACCAGTCTGGGCTGAAGATCCTTGATATTAAATGATTCGTCAATGATTGACGCCTCTTGAGTGATTGACTGGGAGTGCTCGTTGAGTTATATACGGTTTCGACGTTCAACATGAACTGTGATATCAGGGACCGATCATCGTCGATCATTCTACCCCCAACAGGTTGTAACCTACTATCAATTGCTCGCCCGCGAACTAGTGCTATCAGGCGCTGGGTTGGTAAAAATAGACTTATGTGGGGGTCACCCCACAACGTATGACCACCCAAAAATATACAATACTTCTTACATATTTCAATCAGATCCTCAAGCTCGAGCAATGAGTACATGCCGTAGTGCCAATGGTTGAGCTACTGTAGTTGCCCACTGCCACATAACCTCGAGTCTCATCCATTTTAACGAGACTCAGAAATCAAAAATATCTGGTTGATCAATTGATCAGGACGATGGACTCCCATGCTCAAAGGGCTCGGACATCCCATTTCCGAGCTTACCACAACACCAAATACATAATAACCAGATATCAGCGTCTTTTATGCGTTTGCTTTCTCCCACTGACAATATTCACCCATAATCACCCACAAAAATCTACTCCCTCTAATCTGGCAGTGTAACCCGATCTGCATCAAGCGTAGTGCCATAACTTCACCTTCAGCCGTTTCCCCACACAGCTTTCAATCGATCCAAGGACCTAGATCCTAGTTTCTAGCTTCCGCTTTTTATTACTAACTTTTGGTAGCGCGAGTGACTATGCTCTACTCCCGCATCCAAAAAAACGTGTTCCATGGCCGTTCCCCCTTTGTCCAACATACACCTACTATCCGTGGTCAATCGCCACAGCCTTTGCCATTGGCATGGCCTGGTCGGTGATATTTTCTAGAAGATCCTCTTGAAATTACTTGGTTGGCCGGTCGTGGCCGTCGGCCAGTCCTTTCCCCACTTTTAAGCCCCGTCGCAGGCTTGTTCACCGTCTCTTCTTCTTGTCCACTACTGTCTTCCAACATGTCTGGTACGGGTAGGTCCCGACCATCTATCTTTGCATCTCCTCATTGCTCTTCCACAGGACAAGCACGTCATGTTCAGCAGTCATACGAACGATACGATACCATGACGCCCCCCTCTTCTTCTTACCCATTGTCGACTACCCCAAGGCCTGGTATCGTATCTTCTTATTTCCCACCCACAGGACAACCACGCCAGGTCATTCTGCAGCCCACTCAGCAATACCATACGACGATGTCACCCCCTTCTTACCTACTGATGACTCCTTCAATGCCTGGCATCGGTTGGTCCTACCTATTTATTTTTGCATCTCCTCATTACTCTTCCACAGGACAAGCACGCCAGATTATTCAGAACCCAGCCGAGCAATACTATACCACAACGCCTATTTCGCCTCCTCCCGCCGTCAACATGGTAGTACTTCTCGGATTCTCCTTCCTCATTACACTGATCGTGCTTAAAGGTGTCTCACTCAATGCCACAGAGCTCGCCGCGGAGTTCCATGCAGAGCTCAATGCGGAGGTCGACGCAGAGCTCGATGCCGAGCTCGATGCAGGGCTCGATGCAGAGCTCGACCATATCCCTTGATGATGAGCTTGCAGTATCTGGACGTCCAGATTATCACTATCATCCGAATACAATGTCGGGCTTTAAATCACGGTTAGTCGATTACTACTTCCTCTTCATAGCAGACATCTTACACCGCCATTAGTTGCCCAGGTCAGACTGATTTTCCTGGCTTGTCGACATCGGCCAACCTGAGCTTCGCCCCCCCGGGCAGGACGCACATCGGCGACTCATTGAATGTCGATACCGCGACCCACTCTTTGGGCTTCGCCGCTGATCTGTCGAGCCATGTTGCCGACATGTCCATCGACGCCGCCACTAATTCGAGTGGTGCATCGAATGGCAGTGAGGCAGCCTCGGCACCCTCTTTCCCCACATACAAAAACCATACACAGTTGGACGATGCCATGATTGACAATACGGCACGACCGCAATTTCCAACGGCCAAATCCATACATGTCAACAATTTTATTCCATCTATACCTAATAACGCATCTGGTCCACAAAACTATACGCATCCTCCGCCGACCAACATGAACCAATACGGTTATGGCCCTTTCCACAACCCCCCAAGCCAGTTCCACAACACGGTAACAGGGCACGATCTCCCGCCATCCAGCTCACTGCCAATGTATGTCCATCACCATCATCTACAAGTAGCCACTTTGCTTACAATACCCCCATATACAGGCGTTGTTTACCGCGACATGTCTTGCCTAACCCAGATCTTGCGCCCCCCAGCTCCCACCCTGAATCATTCGCCCGTGATTTTGAGACGCAACGTAATTTTGGGACGCAGCATGGCTCGCAGACAGCTGGTCCTCCATATCAGTCAGCCCCGTCTATGGCACCTTCTCGACCCATCCATCCGCGACAAGATCCGCTTCGCCATAATCCACTCTCTCGCTCGAGTTCCGGACGTCGTGGTAGAACTCATACGCAGGAAATTCACCCCTCGCCGTCCACTACATTTTTTTGCGACTGGCTTGACGAAGACAATATGCCCTGCGAATTTAAAGGCTCACTCAATGATTTCCAGAAGCATTTCATGAGCAGTCATCTGTCTGGGGCGCAAAATGCGTTGGGTAGATGCAATTGGCGAGGTTGCCAATATCAAAACCGCAAAAATCCAAGCGTCCACGGCATGCGGCGCGACACCACTTGGCGTCATGTCCGCGAGTGTCATCTAAATATAAAGAGACGTATTTGATCTTTGTGTTCGTATTGTTTATTTTTTTCCATCCCCCTTTATTTCCCCTTTGGCACTGCGAGCAGAGCTTAGAGGTTCGTATGTTGTTATACTTGTTAGCATCGCTATCGTTCCATTCTTTCTGTTGTCATGTAATGAATTGAGTACAGCTGCAAGCTCATGTTTTGGTATACTTCGTTCTATCAGACGCAGCATAGTTATACCTGTGTTTTATGTTTAGTCTGCTGTCATGAACCTTCCTTGTTTCTAGAGGTTGACAAGCAGATCCTCGGAAAGTTATAATGACAATCCTCACCTGAAAACTATCGTGAGTCAAAGAATGTCCGTCTGATGTTAGAATAAATGCGCGTTCTCTTTGGTATCAGAACGAAGGAATCGGTGTCTTGGACCCTTCATGAACGTCACAACCTCAGGGGGTGCGAAATAATCACCATTACGACTGACCTGACGTTGTTCAAGCGTCCTCCGATCACACATCCTTGGATTCGAAGACGATGATCAAGTTTCTCGGAGATATTGCGAACATATGCTGTGAATTCTTCTAACGTCCTTGAGAATTTCTGTCAAAAGTACTCCGCCGATGGCCTTGGAGTGTAAGTACCAGCCAAGGAGTTTGCCGTTCAGGGTTCTAAAAACCACCGGAATGGCTGGCTGTCATCGCAAGTAAAATGAGCTGTATCGTTTAACAGGCAGGCCAGGCCAAACAGCATTTGTGGCAAGATCATCGGGGGCTCCGGGTTCGCGTGAAGAATCCTGTGAACGGGTTCGAATAATGAATACAGACCGAGATTCATATCCAGCAGATGTAGGGCTGGCATGCAGCATGTAACGCGTGGTGGAATTGAGAGAATCGGGTCCCAAATTGGTCCACGGAATGATGATCCTGGTGAGGATGCTGCCACGAATACGCAGATAAGGATAGGTGCAAGATCTCGCGCAGGGAAACATACCGATGGATGGTCATCAGCCTGGAACACGGCAGTGCAGCGCGGAGCGGAGCGGAAAAGCCAGACAGCCGAACAACATAATGGCCTGGCGTATACGTGCCCGGCGGAGGCAGCTGCAAAACGAGTAAGACAGGAAGAGTGATCGGAATTAACTTGACATGCAACTCACTTTTGGCTCGTCTCTGAATGATTTGATTTCTTTATTGCTCTAGCGTACAAATTTGGGTGACAGCATCCTGCAGGAAACCCGTCTTATATACACCATGCTAGATTGATTAACGCTGGAGACTGTTGGAGGACATTCAAGGGGAGAAACCTTCGCGGTGTGATCGGTATACAGCACCTTCTCACCGTCTCCAACAAGACTTAGTATGTGTGACCTCACTTGCTGTGTGGTCGATGGCGTTCAGCCGTCGGTGGCAGGTCATCGTACGTTCCTAGGATTGTTTCCATGCTACTTTGGGGATAAGTATAGCAGATAGAGGTAGCTGCGTATCTAGGGTCCAGAGTTCGGGGCGGCCAAAATCAATGATCAGGCTGGAGTCAACACAGCAACCGTGATGATAACCATGCTGCATGCTGTATTACCCCACCAGGCTGACACCAACAGTATCTCGTCATGGTTTGTTCCACTTAAACTGGAACAAAGAGCGACATCCTCGAACTTCACGGATATAGACATGGCCACTAGCTCATCAGTTATCATGGGCAAATCCGACGTCTGACTATATTGACCGAACTACAGGTGACAACTAGAACAAACAAGTTAAGCGCACACGAGTGTCCTAGAACAGAAAAAAATATACTGTACCACCTTCAAATTAATTACGCACAGTTGTACTATTCAATCTAGGGTTCATCATCAATGCCCAACAAATCTCAGAAAAGCGCCTTGGACTCACTCACCTAGATCAGTATTCAACTGCATCCTCATCGTCTGCGCGTATGCCTGATTCCTCCTTGGTTCCAACGTCTACCTCCATTTCTTCCGTCTTTGATTCGCGTTCCTCCGTCTTTTCTTCTGTCTTAGAGTCACGCTCCTCCACCTTCGATTCAGAAGGCTTGGGCTCATCAGAAGTCATTTCCTCGTCCTTGTTGACGTGGATTTTTTCGTCTGCCTCGATTTCATCTTTCTTTTCCTTCTTCCTTCTGGCGTCCTCCTCGGCAACACGTAGTCGGAGATCCTTAATTTCGTCGATACCGGCAGTACGCTCCCCGCGGAAGGTGGACCATTCGGATTCGGCTGCTTCCTTGACCTAGGTAGCAGATATTAGTACCGGATTCATCGATGCAACGATGGCGAAAGCAGGTACCATGCCATCTACCGCAATGTATTTACAGATACTAAGCTCACCTTGAATTTACGTTTTTCTAAAAATGCTTCCTGTGCTGCTGTGAGTATCGCAGGCAAATAAAAGAGAGGTGGAGGGTGCGATCGTGTTGGCAGAGCTAGAAGAGTTACTGATGACGGCTGGTCTTCCATGGAATCAATGGATTGGACGTCGTCAGATGTACATAGGAAGTGAGAATAGAGTGGTAAATGTGTTCTTCGTAGCTTATACTGCAAGACAAGGTCATTGGCTCTCGGAAGATAGAGGATATTAATGTGAAACGCACGATTGAATCTTTGAGTTGAAGCTCTTCTTCCTTTCGATTTGCGGCGTTCCTGTCTTTCTTGGCTTCTTCAGAGCGTCGAACTGAGTCAGTCTCCTTGCGAAGCTTGGCTTGCAACCGCTGGTCTATCATCTGGCGCTTTTTAGCCTGAAGAGGAATATATACGTCATTCCAATAAGTAAACGCGTGTACAAGTTATGCTTACTGCTTCACTGGCATTCCTTTCCTTGTCCTCAATCTTCGCCTTGTTCAGCGTGCCAAGAACAATACCAAACATGCTCTTGCCTCGCTTGCGCTCGCCGACACCAAGGTCAATGCGAGGCCGCTTTCTTGCAGGCTGAGAGTCTGGTTCATGTCCTGTGTCCATCGTGTCCCGGGTGTCAGTATCAAGTTTCGCTTCAGTTGCTGGTTTCCTATATGTCATCATTGTAGGTTAAAATAGTGAGATATAGCACACGGCTCACAATTTTGTCGACATTGTCTGATGGTAGCGGGTGAACAATACTTTCATTCAGTGACGGGAACTTCGTTGATTATGTCACATTTAATTCAAGAAAGGAAATTTGACACGTGCACGACTTCATCCATCGCCGCCAACGTCGAACGAGTCCGACGACCAAAGATGCCGCCCAAAGTAAAACCTGCACCAGCCAAAGCAGGCCAGGCCCAGACACATTCCAAGACTCCTTCAAGACAGCGACGTCCACAAAAGCAGCAGCCTGCTCCACTAACGGACAGACTGAAACGTCTGTTTACTTCCCTCTGCGCTCAAGTTGATGGTGGGCACTTTACAAATGCGATTCGTACATGCAATAAGAGTCAGTGATGCAGTTTCAAAATTCTCATGGTCCGATATTGATGAAGTCCGCAGTCTTGCGTCTAGATCCAAGTGATCGCGATGCACTACGGACGAAGCTTTTCCTACTTCTCCAAACTGAGCAGTATGACACTGCCCTTGCACTTATCGCTGAAATAAACGAACAAAGTTTGTTTGAGCAGACATATGCATTATATCGTCTTCAGCGAGAAGAAGATGCTGCTCAGGTGCTAGAGGAAATCAAGAACAGTGGGAAAGAGCCAGAGCAGAGAGGCGCGATGCACTTGGAGGCTCAGCTAGTAAGCATCTGGTCATGTCGTTTCAATATCAGGACGGAAATAACTTATCTGGCAGAGCTATCGCCAAGGATCGTACCAGTCATCCCTGGACATCTATAATGAACTTCTTGAAACAGCTGATCCTGTATGTTGCGCGCTTTGCAAGTAGTTGGCAACTCATTCACGTATATGCGCCGCCCTTAGTCTTCGGATGAGCATGCAGACATTCTCACCAATCTATCAGCCTCTCAATCACACCAGAATTTCATCACAACTGCATTTATGCAAGCTATGTCTCGGCTCCCCAGCTCTATCGCCTCAACGTTAGAATCTGCGCCACCACCTCTTCTCTCCCAACCAGTTTCGATTCTCGCTTCTGTGGAAGAACCCACGAAAAAGCCTGAGGTTGTGGAAACCAAAAAGAAATTGCGGACAAAACGTGTGCCGAAGGGAGTCATACCAGGCGCATCGCCCCCACCGGATCCAGAAAGGTGGTTGAAGAAGTCAGAACGAACTAGTTATACACAAGGGAAAAAACGTAGAGGTGCGGGAGGTGGTGCGACCCAGGGTGCAACTGTTGGCGCTGAAAGTGGGCCTGTTTCTGCCGGCGCCTCGCACGGTGGAAAGACTGGTGGGAAAGGCAAGGGAGGGAAGAAAAAGTAGTGGAATGGCAGGGTATCTAATATGTGCAGAACTCATTCTGAAATTCCTAATGCTGCATTCCAGATCACGAGCGAGCTATGTCTCTCACTTCCATGATATATATGAGATTCTGCGGGTAGATGGAAGGATCGGAAACATGTCTTGTTACAAGGGGCATCGGAGCACTGATTCGAAGGGGGAAAACCACTCATCCTTCCGGCCGCCATATTGGCGGGGACAAGAGAACTGACTGACATTGAAATCCATGGAGCTTAGCCCCACACAAGAAAACAATATTGTAATCGTGAGGAGAGCTATCGACTTTGAGGAGATAGACTATTATATAGAACGATCACCGTTGGGGTCAGACAAAGAAGACCATATAGATGTCGACATGAAATTAAAACGAGAGTCGTCGAGTCTACACCGCGCGAAAACCTAGCTTATGCTATGTATCAATCCAATCGAATATGAAATCGCCGGGCGTTGGCCTTTGAATCTCACATTAGATGTATTTAAGGTAATGTACTCATCTCATTAGGGAATTTTGGGAGCCATTTGCTAAAAGTATTCGATGCCCCAGTAAGAATGCCTGAAGTCCCTGAGTCGGTAATTAAGATGAAGTCGTGACTGCAGGGGCAGAGCTAACAACTGCGCTGGCAGTAGCACTCGCAGTAGGAGGACAGAGAGCAGTGGGCATTGGGACACTGACGGCATCCCATGCATCAGGGTATGTACACCCAGCGACTTCTGTGGCAGCCAGACTAGTATCAGACGAATCAAACCATCCGTTCCCGATGATGACCGAACTCGGAAGACTTGGAGTAAACGTAGGTGGCGGCAGCGTCGGGATGGCGCTTGTCGATGTGTAAGTAGGAAGAAAGGATTGTGTAGCTCCTGTGGTGAGCCCATTAATGGACGTGGGCGGATACTGGCCATACGAAGACACTAAGACGGGATTGATTGTCCCCGCACCAGGCCCACCAGTCTGATAGGGCTGATAAACGCCGCCGAACTGTTGAGCGGTGACGCCTAGTGCAGCGCAAGTCCCAGTAGCCATGCGAGGGTCAGTGGGCATCCATCCTTGTTGCAATCCTAGCTGGTACGACCAGAGTGGAGACGCAATCGTATTGTTAGATGACGGCCCAATCTAGACAATAATGTCGAAACACACTCAATTCCAGTGTTAGATCAAAGGTCGAAAGGCGTAATGCTTACCTTCCAGGTCCAGAAAAACCAGTCCTGAAGGGCGTCCATGCTCGCCAATGCGAATTCCTGTAACCCAGCCTTCATAGTATCATTCCACTGCGACGAGTCTAAAAAGAGGGAGCATGAGGGCGCCACGTCTTGCGTGTTCTCCACCCCATTGAGGTACAGTCCGCAATCATTGAAGCCATTGCTGAATTCGCCAGCGAAGGTGACGCCAAACGCTGTTTGACTGCCAGTCACGTATTAGCTTGATAATGAGACACAATCTCAATGATCACCTAGTATTCATCGCAGTTGCCCATCTCGAACACGCTAGAGTTGGCCAAATGCCACCAGCATTCTGCCCAGTTCCTGTCGCTATCGGATCGGTGTTGGAATTACCGTCGAAGGCAAAATAAGGGTGACTGTCCATGATGATCCGATCCGATCCCTCCAAGAACCCTGCCCAAGACGAAAGACCTTGAAAGCCATCATGGATTGCAATATACGGCCCATTCCCTTCCCCATAGCCCGTGATATTGCGAATCATATCGTGGGCCTGCAGGTAACTGATGGGCATATCGTCAGTGATGACTACAGAAAGAAGACAGCGTGGTAAGAACTTACAAAGATGTCATCTGATCCATGCCGATGACAGCAACCCTAGCTTCATTCATGATGCCAAAGACCGGTACAACGTTCCTCCACTCAGGCTGGGAAATGAATTCAGCAATGATCCTGATATAACCAAGAGCGCGTTGAGCGTTTGCAACACCCATGACTCCGTTGAGAAAGTTGATTTGCCCATACTTGCCGGAGTGGTTGAAACCTAGGCAGAATGTTAGATCGCCCAACAGTGATTTTTGGAGACAAAGTATACCATTCTGAGAGCCAGGAATTGTGTGAAGATCAAGATTGACTCGAAGGCCATACTTCCGTGCCCATTGAAGGACTCGCAAGATATATCTGGAAAAAATCAGTGACACCCATTAGAGTGTGAATTCGGATGTTCACGCCATCACTCACGGCCAGCAAACCTGCTCGAGGAAAGGCTCGAAATCCCACTTTTCGATAGCCCAAAATGGTATGGGCAAACGAATCCAATTCAACCCAGCGCCAGCAATTTCTGCGATGTCCTGCTCGGTCTACGATAATTAAATTGATTAATGTCTCACACGAGACGGTGACGAGCTCACGATGAACGTTTTGTAATGTTCCTCAATCTGGTTCAATCCACCATTGGAAGTGTCTGCGGCCATTAGTGTGCTTAGTGACCATTCATCAATAGCTTCTGGATAACTCTGGAATAGAGCAGGTGAAATGAACGGCTCAAGAACAAAGAGGCCGCCGATATTTACGCTAGGAACTTAAATGTTAGATCATAGAAGGTCACATCATGCCAATTAGGTTTACCCGTTAACTTTATTTGCGCCCCAGACCCAACTTTCATTCAGCGGTGGCGTCCATGAGTTAGGACGTGCACCATCGTTGAACGGATCATTAGGATCATCTATCCCTGTGAGCATTGTATCAGCAGCTTGAACGGTAGAACAAAGAAAGTGGTATCATAGGAAATCCTTCAGGAGTCTTGCTATGCAAGAACAAAACTCACAGTATCCTCCGAATGGATTGATGTATGTGAAAGTCGATCCGTCCGAGGTAGTGACCGTAGAACCATTTGCCCCGTAAGTTGGACCGGCGTTAGAACCAATGGACGAAGGGTCCGAAGAACCGGTTCCTTCGGTCATGTCCGACTCATGATGCTGGTGTTTGGTCACAACAAAGTAGACTGGTACTACCACCGCAACTGCTACCAGAACGGCGGAGAGAAACAATAGAACGGGGCGTACGTATGCAGCACGCTTCTTTGAATCAGGCGAGGATGCAGTGATTTCCTCCCCACACTTGGGACCCGGCTGTTGAGATGGTAACAGTGGAGAAGAGTTGCATGAAGTGTAAATGAAGGAGTCGTGGGGAGTAGTAGTTGCTATCTCGGAACTTGAAATCCAAAGAGGGTGTTTGTTATCCAAAGGAGTGTCGGGAGTAGCCAAAGGGACCTCCGCAAAGCTGTCAGGTCTCGATGACATTTCAATCGTGTAGTGAAGACTGTAGGGAGGGGGCGAAAGCACACCGAAACGCGAAGGTTGTCAACATAAATGCATTTTGTTGTTCGGTCCCATGACCGGCAAACGGAAGTTGGTCATAGTACATAATGTAATGCTCGATCAAGTTCACTCCTCCTGGCAGGGAACTAGTAGTCTCGTACGTACTTACTAGTTAATCGACAACTTGAATGTCTGCTGTTGCGATTCGACCATCGGAGTACCTTTACCGTATTCATGTGTTAAACACCAAGTTGAAGTACCAGTGACCTGAGGGTGAGACTGTAAATTGTGCTTTCCGGGCCTCCTCGGTTGCAAGACATGGTATCTGACATGCATGACATCCCAACAACAGTACTAGTGACCACTGGACGTCATCCGCCGTGACTCGGGAGGGTGTCTGCAGTGGCAATGAAGGCAGCGACATTAATGCAGGCAGACAACACAGGACACTGGACCCCACATATGATACGTCCCGATCGGAAGGCAGCCTCAGACATTTGACGAGTCGCCCAAAAGTCGCTGACTAATCCGTTATGGAAGGTACGTTATACAGCCAATACTTAACGATATTAGACTGAGAAATCTCGGGCCCTGTTACAATTATTACTCTAAGCTCTAGATAACCAAATGCATTGATGCTGTGATCATGATGCATAGTGCTGCTGCTTTTACAGGAACAAATGTCCGTGCCGGTTTGGAAGCGTCACGCACAATTATCAGGTTTGGTGGGATTTGGGGCTGAACAAGCCAAATACTGCACCTCGAGGTAGTGGTAAGTTTTATCAAGTACACTCAGGTCGTAGGTGTAGGAGAGATATCTAATGTCTATCCAGTGTAGGCGTGATAGTGCTATGATTAACAAGAAAATACGTACATATGGTATAAAGTATGTGACGATATTTGCCCAAGATGTGATTACTTCCCACCGTTGACGACGTCCTGCAAGATAGGCCGGCCCTTGAGGATCCCCTCTTCGACTCTCGGAGTTCTCGGTTTCTTCGATAGCGGTTCGTTGATACTAGCCGCTGACCCATTCTCCTTACTTCGCTTCGCAGGACTGCGAATACCACACCGTTCGCTTTGGAACGCCGGGTGCTTGACATCCGCATTGGCAGGCAGCGTCAATATCCAGCCCCGCTCTTCCATGAGCGCTAAGAACACCGACAAAAGTTCAGTTGAGTTCAAGGTCTTTCGGGAGCCGATGATGATCAACTTCGACCGCGCACGTGTGAACGACACGTTGACTCGCCGCCAATCCTTAAGCAAGTCTCCAATCTACGCAAGGAGCGTTAGCTCGCGCTGCACTTGTATAGCCGAAACCGACAGAACATACCTGCCCCTGGTCGTTGGATCTAACCATCGAAATTATAATACAGTCCTTATCACGTCCCTGACTTCTGTCAGCTGTGAGAATCTCTATATCCTTCCTGTCTTGGAGAAGGTGTGACAGAAGCTTTATCTGCTGGCGATAAAGAGACATGATTCCGATCTGGTCCTCCTGGACTCCCGATCTTAAGAATGCCTCGGTAATCTGGTACACGAGCTTGGCCTCGACATCATTTTGGACGAGGTCCCCAATCCTTGAATCACGGGCAGGCAAGTGGTCTGTGTCAACGAATATGACTTTGGAGCTAGTGGGGAATATGGTAAGTCAACCTGCCGCACCACATGCTGTACACCGACCTCTCTAATAATAGATACCGCAACCAGCAAGATTCCTCGCACAGGCACATTCCCGGATCTAGTTTGCCAGTCATAAACTCGTTAGGAAGAACGAGAGTGCGCTTGGCCACTTCCTCTGATCCACATCGCAGACGATCTCCGTATATGAGCTTATTCGATAGCTGCATAATGTCTTCGTTCATGCGATATTGATATGTGAGATCGACCACCGCGTGTGGGTGCGCTTCAGAGAGGCGACGGAAGAGAGACGTTTCCAGGCCGCCTTTCCGCGCAGCAGGATTGCGGACCTGGACATGCATAAAGGGGAGACTATAATATGCGACAAAAGAAACTCACTAGCGGGGGAAGCTGGAAATGATCTCCAACCAAAACGAATTTCTCGGCAAACCGAAGGGGACCTAGACATGTGGGCAGGGTACTCTGAGAAGCTTCGTCGACGATGCAAAAATCGAATGTCCTGCGAGAAAAGAGGGCACTGGTGGGAGAGGGATAATGCGCACAAGCAACGACAGCGAGAGACAAACGTACTGATCAATTGACAAGCATGTAGTAGCAACAACTGGTGGTGAAATGACCTGGTTCTCCAATTCCTCGACTGTTGTAGGCAACCTACGTTCAGAAAGCGTAAATCTGCGAACGCCAGGATGCACCTAAACATCAAGTATGAGCCAATCTACCAAGGATTGTGGTTTCGGAGAGGCATACCCTATCCACGTTGCCAATTCTTAAAATACCGAAGTCTACATCCTGTAGCTTGAGCAATATCGTGTCAACAGCCGAGTGAGTGTATGACGTCAAAAGGACTGTCTTCCCCATGGCCACGATAGTCCGGATGAGCGCAACAATTACGGTTGTTTTGCCCGTGCCAGGCATACCAAGAATGAGCGCGTAATCGTGTGCGCTCAAGGCCCGCTTCATCGCAGCAAGTTGACTAGGGTTCATACCCGAGCTTGCGAGGACATACTCCGGAACATGTTGCAGGCCATCAGCGATGGTCTCTTCGTCATCGAATGAAGGACGTCGCAGGTCCACCACAAGCTCTAGACGCCTGGGATCTCCCTCCGAGTAGAATAGTTGGGCTAAATTATCTCTGATCCGCGCCATGCCGCCTGATAGCTCGTCCTTGTCAATTCGGAAGAGTACAGCTGTCCTTGCTCCTCGGAGCGTCTCCAGTCTGGCTTCTATCTTGTCTACACTCAACTCATGATCTACACCGACGACCACGGTCTCTGGTGTTAGCTCCACAATGAACCCTCGCGCAAGAGCAAGAAGATCAGGCTCAACGGAGATTGTGATAGCATCTCCACGGCCCATGTGCCCGTTCAAGAATGAAACGCCATGAGCAGCAAAAGCACGAACGAAGCAATAAGTATACTGGTGAATCTTGCCACTGTTGGGAACCTTTCCCGGCTGGAAAGATGTGTCTATGACCATCGAGTTGAAACATCTGCCTTTGTCCTCGCGTTCTTGAGCGGACATGCACCATAGCTCTTTTCTGAACCGAGTGGCATCTTGTTCTTCAAGCGAAATGAGCTCCTCCCATTGTTTAAAAAACGTAAGATGGGAAGGCTTCAAATGTGAGGTTTTGAGGTCGTACACGTCTGCAATCGGTGAAGACGTATCAACGACGTTCTCAACAGCCTGTAGCCATGACATCAGCAGAACCCATGGAGCAACATGAGAATCAAACCTTGCGAAATAGCATACAAGTGTCCAACGCATAGCACTTCTTGCACAGTCTTTCGTCGTCAATCGTAGGAGGCAGAAAAGGCTCTTCGAGCTCCTTTTCCTTTCCATATGTATTCCTGCGCATAATATATGATGCCATTTCGTTCCTTGCACCTATCAGTGCTCGAAGCTCGTTGCGGCTTTGCGGAACACGGACCACCTCCTCGCTCTGGGTGTAGTACAGGAGCCCACTCGGAACATCTACCCCGTACCGTTCTGCTATCAGAAGGGTGTAAAGCATGGTCTGAGCGCGATGTTCCATCCCTGCTACAGTTTTACCAGTCTTAATCTCAAATGGCATTATGTGTGTGCTCAGCAAAGATCCCTTCTTAACATGCTTGACGATCGTGCTCTCAGCAATGACCGCCTGGACGGTGGCATCGACCTTGCCTTTAAGTCCATAGGTTGGAGACCAAATGTCTTCTTCCACATCATGGAGTTGGGATATAGCAAGAAGGGAGCTTTGATTCGCTGCCGCGCGGGTGTTGGTGAGAACTGCATCAGCCTATAACATCAATTTTAGCAATCAAACATGCGCAGTTACTTGCAACGATCACCTTTGGCGTCTCAGCAATGTAGCGTTCAGAGAACACTCGAAGACCTTTTGAACGGGCCTTGACTTCACGTTTTGCTTCGTCGACGCCAACGTTGATCTTAACAAGCCCCGCAAGATTCTTCTTGATGATCTCCTCGGTGTGTCCTTCAATGAAACGGTCCTCCCATCGTTGTTCAGCCATGCATATTTGCATAACCTCGTGAACCATGTTACCCCATATGAGCGATGGGGTGACATCCAAGCTCGAACGGACAAGCGCGGAGAGAAGTGGTTTGCGCCTGCACTGTGGCGCGTTAGAAAGCGCAGTAGCCGTGATCAAGAGGTCTGGATGATTAATCAGAAAATTGACTTTGGACGTTATCTTAATTATTCCAAAGGAATCAAAATTGCCAAGGACGTTGATGATATTTCCTGGGCCAAGTTAGCATAGAAACGAAGGATATAAAAGCTGTTTACCTTTGCGAATATCTGTGTCTACCCAGTCGTCGCAGAGAATCACTGTTCGGGAATCTCTACTTGGCTGGACACGCACAGAGAGAACCTGTAATACTCTCTCATGACATAGTGTAATCCATGCAGCTTCGAATTTCCAAACCTTTTGAATCATTTCCGACCTGTCATCTCGAACGTCATCAACCACGCATCGAGTGCACGTCTCTTTGGCGTGTCGCTTCGCAGGCATTGCTACCGTCTGCGGAGCTTCAATAGGGGTACCGTGGTCAGTAGAATGCTGAACTCACCCTGGACTTCACTTGAGGCTTCTTCGGAGTCATAAAATCATCTTCCATGTCTGCCCAGTCCCAGTTTTCAGCGCCTTCAAGAAGCGCGTTCACATTTAGAGCATTCTCATTGACGGGAGGAGCAGTGGCAGACAAAGATGCAGATCTCCTAGCAACAGGAGAACGCTTGACAGAAAGCGGCAAGCGACCGGGCGTTTTCTTCTGCCGAGTCAGAGCAATAAGTACATTCGAGTAAAAACTCACCTCCATTGGCGTCTTCCCACCATTAGATTTCTTTGGTGTAAGAAAATCTACTTCCATATCATTCCAGTCCCAATTTTCTGCGCCATCGAGAAGCATGGAAATGTCGAGGTTATTACTGTTAGAGCTAGGACGGCTGCCCGCATGTTTCGAGGGTGTTTGTGGAGCGATGGAAGAGCAAGAAGCTGTTCGTTTGAGCTTCGGTGGACGTTCTGGTTGGCGTGTTGAGTCAAGATCTAAAAGCAGGTTCTTCATGAAAGCATCTTCGTCAGGAGTGTTAGGTATCGCTTGGGGCATGACAAACTAGAAAGATGTGAAGTTTCAGAACACGGTGTGTCCTTAAGTTTCGACAATCGATTGCAATGGCGCGGTAACGCGACGCGTTTGTTGCCATCTGTGTGGTTGTCACTTTTGAACTCCGCGAATATTTCCTGGCAGTCAACTTGGATCGTTTCACAACAGAACAACTCAGGCTTGAACGTTCTGGACAGTTGCAGGCGCTCGCTTTGAGAATCAAAAAGGACTCGAGACCAGTGGGCAAAGTGCCAGAGTCAATTTTCCCGCAGACTCATCACCAAGTGCTATTGCACTACGTGTACCTATATGGCCTCCCAATTCGCCCCGGGTAGGAACGTGACCCTGGCAAGTACTTGCTGCTAATGACATGGCTTTGAGCTTTACATACCTACTTGCAGAAATCCATCCAGATTCCAGACATCCTGTAACCCATCACGGCGTGCTCGATATGGGTCACCGTGAGTCATGTGATGCCCTTTGCAAATTACGTCTACCCGTTAACAAGCCATGGTTGATACGGTGACTCCATTAATGTGCGTAAACAAATATATAGCCACGGCAACAGATAAATACCGAGTTCCAGGCATACAAATATTATTGACACACGAGGATGCACCGGTTGGGCTACTCCTCATAGCCGTGTCCACTGTAAATGCGCCATCATAACACTCTTATCTCGGCAGGCGCACGCACAGTCATTTCATTGTCCAAGCTTAGTGCCCCTGATCACAATTAGCATTTAACATCGAGATCACACAGGGATGAGGGGCTTTTCAGGTAAGCCGCGCAGCCAATCGCGGATTTTACACCCTTGAAAGAAATGGTCCCAAAATGGATGTTCACCGTCCGACTTCCTCTTTCGATCACCATCATGGGACTCTTACCTCGGTCCTTAATCACCTCGTGTTTCCCATGTGTTTGGGTCAACGAGGCATACAGCATCTTCGTTTACATACTTGGATTTCTCTCAGCATCAGGCGTAGTCTAGTAGACGCACGCCTTTCAATCAGTCCCTCGCAAGTCCCGTAACAAAGGCTATCACCAGAATAGCAGAACATTCGCAGCGCATCAACCAACACCATAACTTTATCATGTTCAGCAGCCTTTCTAGTACCCTCGCAGCAGCAGCAAGCGCTAGCGGGGCCAAGGGTGACGCCAAGAAGTCCATATCTCCAACACTTCGTGCAGATATCTATAGCGCCGTTGATCAGGCAAAGCCCTGGCTCATTGGGGGTACTGTGGGCAGGCAAGCTGGTGATGGCGTCGCCTATCAGCCTATTATCGCCAGAATCCACGAACACTTCCCTGATTTGAAAATGGGATTAGATGCAGCACGAAACATAGAGCATGAGGTGGCTGTTATCGTCGCTGGCATCACGAACATGATCCTCGAGATGAGCAAGTGGGAAGGAATGGCAGGAGCTATGGCCATGCGCACGTGGGTTGACGCACTTGGTGATGCACACGGCAAGATAAGCAGCGCGTCTACCGGGGCAAAGGGCGGTCCTCGGAAGGACCAAGTTGGGCGAGGAATTACCAGGGGCATCAATCAGTTGACCGACGTTACCCTGATGACAAGAGAGTTTGCGGCGAGAATACAAATCATCTCGCTGTTAAAGAGCGGTGAGTTGGAACTTTAGTATTCATTCAAGACGGTCCGTTTACGCCCGCCACTTTGCTTCTTCGATAATTTCAGTAAACACGAAAATCCATGGTGCAGGGAGTGACGAAGCGAGACAGGGAGAAGCGCTGTGGAGCTCGAAGTTCATCTGATGCTCGTAGAATTGTATCCACACTTTAGACAATTGGGAAATTGGTCGGTCAGGATGCCTCGTAGCTTTGTTTTGCGCCGAACATGTGCCTTACGCCTTACAGATATGCACTAGTCTAGAATCATGGGCATCGGTCATTGTGGGATGGTTATAATAACTGTCAATCTTTCTTGGGTAAGTTTTTCCATGCATTGATTAAATGGGGTTGCAATGTGCAATATACCCGACAGAACGCAACATTAATCAGAACAGGATGAGGAGCGAAAATCTGCCGGTTGGCGCAATTATACGTATCTGTCATAATCACGAACTACTTCATATCAGATGACCAGCATGACAATATATAAACGCGGCATGAATTGCCCGCAGAAGCCAACAAAACGCGACATCACACCCGTTCTCCGTCAAGTGAATGCCAAGGGACCTACAGAAATGAAACAAACCCCAGTCTGGAAGCATCTGGGCCTATCGTGCCAATATTAGGATTATATGTATAATATTTTACATGATCTGATGGAAATGTGAGTAGCGGACCTTCAAATTGGGTAGGCTTACTCACATAATTGCGGATGTCCTTCGGGAAGCTTGACGATGACGACTGAGCCATCATTTCATTTGATGTCGCCTCGGGCGAGTCATGAGCGTTGACAATGTAGTCATCGAGGGAAAAGTGTTCCATGCTAACGTCCAACATGAATGGCTCGACCAGCCGGTTTTGTGTGCTGTATTCGTGCGACTGAAACATCCCCGGATCCGAGAAGCTCGGAGACATAGCGTAGTTTTGATATGGGAGTGTGCGGGTGGGGTTGATTGAGTCTGGATAAGCATGAGTGTTGTTTGTGAGAGATGCTGGATTAGATTGGTATGCAAAACGTGGTGTGATGGAAGGTGGGGGGGCGCACGGAGATGGCGAGTATCGGAAGTGGTATATAGCAGAGAATATGAGAACAGGGCGTGGACGACCCGAGTGCCTTGTGGGAGTTGCTGGGTCCGGAGCACGGTACACGTCCTGAATGATGGTATATACAGTGGGGTCTCGGGGCGAAAAATTATATTCCCATTGCATGTGAAGTTCAGGCATGACGTACCTGGTGATTTGCACAAGGTTTCCCAGTACTTGGGAACTAGAGCTGTGCTGTATAGCAACGGACCGTCACCGGAAGAGCCGGTGAAATACGGTCCAACGCATTCGAGCTTCGTGTCCTCGCTGTGTATGGGTGCGCCATCCAATAACATTATGTAGGACGACTTGCCAGTGACAGCAGAGGGCGAGACGAAGGTTACGGTGGGATCAATGTCCCTCATGCGACGTGGTGTGTTCGAGGAGGGTTGGGATGCAGCTGCACCCTGAGGGGGCTTGTATGAAGAAGAGGATGGTACACGTGAACGTGAGGAGGATGAGCTCGAGAATGAGCTAGCCTCTGGCAAAATGTCAATGTACACTGGAGTACGGTTGTCAGGAGGGTTGTTTTTTTTAGAGGATGGCATGGCAGTGTACTCTGCAGAGGATATGGAGCCGGCGGATGAGGAGGCGGATGAGGCATCACTTCTCGAAGAGTCGAGAGATAAATAGTCAAGCGGAGGCATGGATTCACCCTCAAAAACATAATTATGAGGGGAAAACCTCCGTGACGAGCCAAATTCTCGGGAGAGGGAATCGATCACTAACCAAAATAACCAAAATAGAAGAATAATTAATAATGCCGCAAAGAACGCACAAACAGCCATAGGATGGAAACTCACATTCCCGCCCCTCGGATGTGTCCCTAATCTGCTGTAGTCGACTGCCAATTTGTTTTGATGATCTATATTTTCCCGTCTTGTGGTAAATATACTCCGAGATGAAGCGATTACGCATAGGGAATCGCCCTAAAATTTGCGTTTCCCGTGAGTCAGTGGGTTTATATTCATGAAGACCTGGAATAATCATATAAGCTAAAAGGCTGTGATCAGCATATGTGATCCGCACCTTTCAGCATTGTAACTTCGAGATAAGGTGGCCATACAGGCTCGGTGTTGCCCTTCAGAGTTTTCCAGCTTTTTCTGACATTAAAGATTGTCCGAAAAATGTCTTCCGTACTTTGACCCGGCGACATTAGCCAAGGAGGACCAGAACCACATGATGAACTTGTCGTGCTGCCAGTAGATGGCGATGTGGAGCGATCAGAACGCGCCGTGTGAGCGTGGAGCGTGCCGTTGCGCGAGGCATGGGTGATGGGTGCAGGATAATGCAACATTGAGGGTGATCGTCAAATTACTAGATGATTCGGAAACACGTTAAACAGAGGCGGATTAATATAAGCGTGTGGGGGCGGGGACGGCAAACATGGCTGTGAGGTTCCCGGACTCCAGTGGTATAATTAACAAAGAAACAACTTTGGTAGTATAACCTGCCGCGGGTTCTAACCCCTTTTATCGTGCGCCATTGGTATGCGGTTGAGAATAGTACGGTATTTGACGCGTATGGCCCGATACTATTGGTTTGTGGTACCCGAAAAAAGGGCGGTGCCGCACAAGTTACTGCCTCCATACATTGAGAACGTGCACTTACTGGGCGACACTGCACTGTACATGTGTCATTTATGTGTAAAAAGACACGCTAAGACTCACTGCCATGTCTAAAAGAATACGCCATGATTATAAAGTTTTGACGGAGAAGCTGCATGGATGATATTACTAGGGAGGGTCCGGGCTCATTGGCCCAGAATTATGGCGCTTTCAAGTTGCCACTCACACTGATTAACAGGCATCAGATCTAGTGGAAACCTGAACGCGCCATAATTCTGGGCCAATGAGCCCGGGCCCTCGCTACATCAGTTGATCAGATTTGGATCAGATCTCCTCCACCTTCCGGCGATGCAAATGCCCCGAACTCGGAGAGTTCCGTTCATTTCCCCCACTTGGGTTTGACTTTGGATTCATGTAATCGAAGTCACCAGGCCTCACATCTTCTCGTAACCCCGACCTGCTTATTAGGAATAGGCAAGTACGCCTGTACCAATCGGATACATTGTATGACGTTGCGCCATAGGGTTTGTATGATATTGTCTATTGTCTTCTGACTGGGTACAAAAACATGAGGCGTCAAAAATATTTTATGTAAACGAGATTATTTATCTTCTAGAACAGGGTCAGGACCGTTGAACCTATACAATTTTACATTGCGAGTACCTTGCACCCACAATGACACCAAAAGAGATTAATTAGTCTACCATTTCTCAGGCTTCATGGTGCTCAGGGGGTCAGCTTCATACGCTTTGTCGATACTCAAACCGAGCTAAGTACGGCCCGTCATGGTTTTCCTTAATATTCCTACGTGCGAATCGCGGATATTGCGCCAGAGGTTGTTCTTTTCTTCTTTCCGGCTTGTTGTGAAGGCCCATTGCCGGAGCGCGGAGGAGAAATATTTCTTGCCATTGCTCAGAGCTCGGCTTTAAGCTCTGAATGAAATTCGGCTGGAGTTCATGATGCACGTATGATATGAGTGGCTACATAATTGTGGTATACTCAACAGATAGCCCAAGACATGAGCGTTTATTGCCAAAGCTTCGGGCATCGGACCCCGCAATATCGTCCGCCTGACTCCTCAACCGCGTCGAGGGCTAGAAAAGCCGCTCAAATTGTCAAAAATTTCATCGGGAACAGAAGTTTTCATTTTCTGGTTTTCGTAAGGCGGCTTTCATGAAAAAGTTACGATCGATATACTATCATAGAGCTTGTTTGGTAAATTGAAGGTCGTACGACAGCCAATAGATATTAAGTACGCTCGACGAACCTTGTTAGGGTGGGCGCTAGGTAACTTCGTCGGATCGAGGCATCGACCAAATTGTTTTGTGACGGCCTGCCACTCTGCACACATCGACCGTGACTTGCCAATCCATGATATAAAAGGAACAGCTGTCTTCCTTCTAGTATGTGTTCTGACTGCGGGAGTCTAGCAATAGCATGGTACGTCCATAACTAAGAACCTGATTCCCAATTCGCAATTAATTTCAAAAAATGTGTTATCTCTAGGCCGCCGCATTGACAAAGTACAAATTGAATTTCGATCCGGATTCAATCATCTAGAGCGCCAATCAGATAAGACGCCTTGTGCTTACAGCAGTACTTGGCACGATCAATATTGCATGAACCTTTGCCTCAAGCTACCCCAGCATGCTTTGTGAGGCCCTTCCAGGTGCGTATCACCTTCGTACAGAACCGTTGCCCTCATACGCCCGAGTCATTGTATTGGGCACTCATCCCTGAACACGTGACAAGCTGTCAAGAACCAGAGCGTGGCATCATGCATGGGAATTCGGCAAAGGTGAGATAATGACTTGCGAAACATCGTCAATACAGTACTGATAAGTTCCTCATATCGGACTGAAATTTAGATAGGAAAGCGTTTCGCTTGCAGTAGTGATCAAAGGCCTCGCCGCGCCGCACGGCGGAAACGGATCAGATCATCAGCGACGTCAGCCACGTCTAGTCATGTCTATAAAAATTTCCAACGTGGGTTCCATCTTTGAGCACCGTAATCGATCTCGATGGTGGTGTGCCCCTGCGTGGGACATCGCTTGAACAAGTTGAAGTCCTGGGCGTCTCTTTATCGTACTCTGCTACTGTCCGCCCACAATGTCGTCTTCGAGGCCCGACAGTCTTGCAGATCCATTTGTGACGGCGCCCAACACTCCTTTGAACCTCGGTCAATCCTTGGAACCTCCCAGAGCATCTTATCTGTCATCGACCCCAGGAACTGCCACCAGCCTGCGCGATTCGTACGCTGAATCACCAGAAAATGTCTCTCCATTGGTGCAAGAGAACGAGAAACGCGATGCCATAGCTTACGGCCAAGATTCGAGAGCAGACTCTGGGTTGAGAAAACGATCCATCCTTAGGCGGCCTCTATTTTGGCTTATCGCTTTCGCCGTCGTTACTGTTGTTGTCCTCGCTGTCGTTCTCCCAGTGTACTTTGTTGTTATCAAACCTCACAATGACAGTACCAACGGAGCTTCTGCAAGTGGGTCAGGTAGCGGCAATCCCACACCTCCGCCTGGAGTAACTACGACCGGAGGAAACGGCTCCCTTATCACAACGGCTGATGGCACGACATTCACTTACTTGAATCCCTTTGGAGGCATCTGTAAGCTCTATCATCCATTTGTGGCTTGCAGCTATGGTTGCAGTTGAGTCGTTGGCGATGAACTACGGTGTTTTCTCAGTGCCATCTACGGATGTTACACAAATGAGAATTATGTCTCTTGTGCAGGCAAAGGGTCCGTGTTCCGCTAACGTAAATGCCAGAGGGCTGCTTCTTGTCTATTACCTCTTAGCCAAACGTTTCGATCTTACTGGTTATTTGCAGGGGTAGACAACCCAAACGACCCTTTCAACACTGGCGCTTATCCTAATTCGTGGACCCCTCCGCTCAACTCTAGCTGGACTTGGGGAGTAGACAAGATTTATGGGTCAGTTTCATCTGGTCACGTACCTGAGACACATTCATATGTGGAACGCGGATCATGTACAGTGTCAACCTTGGCGGACTTTTTGTTCTAGAACCCTTCATCTCACCCGCCCTTTACGAGAAGTATCCGGGTTCAATTGACGAGTGGACCCTGAGCACGCTCATGGCGGCAGATACAGCCAGCGGCGGACTTCAACAGATAGAGACCCATTACAGTACCTTTATTGTAAGTACATTTGGCTTAGCTTCTTGGAGCTTTGAGCCCGAACAACGCTTGTAGACCGAGCAGGATATCGCCGAGATCGCGGGAGCTGGACTGAATTGGATCCGTTTGCCTATTCCTTTCTGGGCGATTGAGAAATGGAGTTTCGAGCCCTTCCTCGAGCAAGTCTGTTGGCCGTGAGTACTGTGCCTCTGAATCATTGTATGAACGTTTTTTCATATTCAAGTGGTTGCGGTGACGCTTAGCTACATCCTGCGTGTTCTCCAATGGGCACGAAAATATGGGATTAGAGTGAATCTCGATCTGCATACCATCCCTGGATCTCAGAACGGTACGTGGCAGGGTGTGCCATCATTACTCATGTTGTGGAAACTCAAGATTGGTATGCAGGATACAACCACTCCGGCAAAGAAGGCTCTGTCAACTTTCTGAATGGAGTCATGGGACTCGCTAACGCCCAGCGTGCGCTTGATTATATTAGGATCATTACCGAGTTCATATCCCAGCCTGAGTGGGTTGATGTCGTCCCTGTGTTCAGCATTGTCAACGAGGCCCTGGTCTCTACCATTGGACAAGACCAGATCACAACGTTGTACGTCTTGATATGCTTGCATGCGGTAGAATGTCCTAATAGCCGCCTTGACATTTAAGTTATCTCCTTGCGCATGACATGATCCGCAATATCACCGGTTATGGAGAAGGGCACGGGCCCTACATTGCCATTCATGATGGTTTCTTAGGGACTGCAGCCTGGGCAGATTTTCTGCAAGGTTCTGATCGAATCATACTTGACACCCACCCTTACTTTGCGTTCGACGGTCAGTCTGATTGGTCGCCCATTGCGACTGGTACTGGATTAAGCGCTGGAGGCATTTGGCCACAGCAGGCGTGTAATGCATGGGGTCCTGGCATTAATACCAGGTATGCATGTTTCCCACTTAGCGACAGCGTTCTCACTTTACCATAGTCAGACCGCGTTCGGTATAACCATCGCGGGCGAATTTAGCGATGGTTATAATGATTGTGGACTGTACCTCACAGGTGTTGGGAATACTGCCAGCTATGACACGTCGTGTTCTCTCTTCTTAGACTCTTCGCAATGGAACGACACAATGAAAGCAGGTCTTTCTGAATTCACGCTGGCTAGTATGGACGCTTTGCAGGACTGGTTTTTCTGGACCTGGAAGGTTGGTTTGAATTTATGCTAGTCAACGCGAGCTTCACTCAAATTTATCGGCGACTCTTGCAGATCGGAAACTCATCCACGACCAATAGTGTCCAGTCTCCCCTGTGGTCTTATCAGCTGGGTCTTCAGAATGGATGGATCCCTACCGATCCCCGCACTGCTGTAGGCACCTGCGCAGCGTTGGGAGCAACTGGTCCACAGTTCGACGGGGTCTATCAAGCCTATCAGACCGGAGGCCCTGGAGCCGGCACCATCGTCGCGTCCTCGGTCGCATCTTATGGCCAGTATCCACCAACATCTATCAACGGTCTTACAGTTGGAGCAATCCAGTCCCTCCTTCCCACCTACACGTCTACTAGTGCAGTTCCAACTCTTCCACCTCCCACCTTCTCTCCGAGTCCTTCTCCATCAGTCAGCACCGGGAACGGCTGGTTCGATTCGGGAGATACCGGTCTGGCGCCAACACAAGTACAAGGTTGCACCTACCCAAGTGCATGGGATGCTGTCAGTTCAGCTATGCCCACGGCACTTTGTCCTTCTACAGGTATCGTGACTCCCGTCACC